GCTTCAGGCCTAAGGTTTGTGCACACGCATGTGCCAAAGTATTGGGTGCAATTCTGATGCATTACGCCAGGGGGCGCAGCTGCTTGGAAGTCTTGCCATTCGTGAGGCTGTGGATGGGGGGAGTTCAGTAGCCTGACGTCCTAGACAGGCAAGGTAGGTAAGGTAGCCTGGCAAGGTAGACAGCCCAGGGTTTTCTGTAAACCCGACCTTATGCATTTGAATAGAGCATAGAGCAGGTTCAAAAAGGTCAAACGTAATAATTTGAGTGAGTGAGTGAGTCAGTCAGTCAGTTTTTCCCTTGGTCACTGCGGCGCCGTGGCAGTCAATTCTACTGAAGAAGACCCTTGAGTTGCAGTATTTCAATCAGTCGTAATGCGTCTCTTTTGAACAGCGCCAGGTTGTTCCAATTTTCAAGTCACTCCTTTTTCTTTACTCCAGGTTTAAGTATTGCAACATTTAAAACACCGCGCAAAAATAACCCAAAATCCAACCTCTGCTTGGAGAGTAGTACCAGCGAGTGCCTTATTTGCTGGCGACTTGTAAAACTTGTGGAGCGGAAAAGTAGGTATTAGTATTAGTAAAAGTAGGACCTAGTATGAATGGAGCCTTGAGCTAACAAAACTGAGTAGAAGCTGCCTCTGTGATGGTATCCAGGCAAAGCTTAGGATCTGTGCCACGCCTTTCCGTTCCCTTAATAGAAAGTAGTTCCAGCTCTGGTGCTTACGGTGGCACACAGTGTTGTTACATATATTGTACCTAGCTATTGTAACGTTCTGAGGGTTCGGGCACGCAACGGATTATATGCTTAGTAGTTTGTGTAAAGATAACATTCCGCTCTGACACGTCGCATGGTTACCTGCGGATTATAACTGTAGATTGCAACGCACAAAAGCAAGCTTTAATAGGGGAGAATCAGGAAAATCTTAGGATAGGAAAGGCTGCAATTTCTATGCATAATATCGCTGGTGGCCATCCTATTTGTATAGCGGGGCTCTCATAGTCGCTCCTAAAAGAATAATTGATCTATAACACTTTGTATTAGCCTAGTATAGTACCCTTGTATGTTCCTTATGTGTGTATGTCTAAGTCAAGTAGTGCATCTTTTGTCTCCAATTTCCTATATACGTTTGTTATGTGTCTGTTATATGTTGACCCGTACCTAGCCCGTCGTGGCATGAATGTACAATGAAGGTATAACCGGCTCCAGACAAGCCGCTTCCGGGCACCGCGGATCGCTGGAAAAATAGTAGAAATCGGCCGAAATAAAGGAATAATATAACAGGGGAGGTAGCCGGCCAGAGAAGATCCAATTCGCGACCCACGGACGTGGGTTTCTACTATTTTTCCACTGATCCGCGGTGCCTGGTAGGCTAGCTCCAGACTACTTTTTAGGGAGCGAGTATAGGAGCCCTGGTATACAAATAAATAATACTATTGGCACCCAGCCTAGCTGTAATTGCTGAAATAGACACAGAAATACATTGTACATGTAATGGATAGTCAATTCCTTCACGCTTCTGTACGTATCTGACGTCATAGTGACGTCATGTCAGCTCCTCGCACCCGATCTCCTGTCATAGAAATGTTTTGATAAACTACTTCAATTCAAAATTGTAACTGTCAAACACAATGCATTCTCGTTTTTGCCTATTAAACAAATAGCTTGTAGTACGAATTCACAATGAAAACAAAGACTTTTGTGACCTTTAAATCGTTCCTACGTTGATTTATTTGAAACGTTGTTTGTCCTCACAGCTTTTTGGCACCCAAAAGAAAATTGATAAAAAGACTGACAGCACCAAACGTAATGACAGAGATGCGTTACTTTTTTAAGACCCTATGAATGCATGAAGACAAATACGAATTGCATTCTAGTTATAAATACTTTGCAATATTAATGACAACCCATGTTGTAAGGATACGTTTGAATAATCTATGGGCAGAAAAAAAAGAAAGAGATTAACCAAATGGAACATACAATCAATAGGCTAGAGTAAGAAATGGCTCCCAATGTGCGCCTCAGCCAGGAACAGGGGTGCAAAAGAATCCATCAGAATTTTACGGAATTCATACGATCCTTACTAGAAACATACGAAGTTTACGGAATACATATCCATTACGCAGAAACCAAGATATTGTAGAGAAAACATTTTCACGCAATAATAGTCCGCCATCTTCAATTTGCTGCAGATGTCAGGTGTTCGCGGTGCAAGACACCAAATTAGTAAGGATCGTATGTATTCCGCGTAATGGATCGTATGTTTCTAGTAATGAATTCGTATGTTTCTAGTAATGGATCGTATATATTCCGTAAACTTCGTATGTTTCTAGTAAGAATTCTATGTACTCCGTAAACTTCGTATGTTTCCTAGTAAGGATCCTATGAATTCCGTAAAATTCTGATAAATTCTTTGCACCCCTGAGGAAGTCGCTAATCTTTTCCACTCTTCAGAACCTTTGCCTCCTAAGAGCATTCTAATGTAAGGGCCATATCTACTGCATCACCAGGTATGCGAATGCACCCATCAACGATAAAGCAGTCCTGGGATTACGTTGGTAAAAGCCTTTCTTAAATCCCGGTTTAGAATCTGCGGGATTCAGACTATTAACTTGCCCCAGGATAAAGCCCGCACTCTGTGCATGAACCTCAGGCTTTGCCGAAGTGCGTGTCCACAATAACAAGCATTTTTGCCACTCAAACTGTACTCTTGAGCGGACCGACCCCCCTGGTATGTTTTTTTTTTACCATTTTGGCCAATTTCTACTCTCTCCAGCCGCTTCCAGAAGCCTGGTAGAGACTATAGCCTGCTAGGCGCTGGGAGGCTGTAGCCTCTACCAGGCTTCGGGAAGCGGCAAACTCATCTCTTAGCGGACCAACTCCCTTGGTATGTTACCCGTCTGTTTGGCCAATCAGTCTACGCTCTTTCCAGCCGCTTCCCGAAGCCTGCTAGAGGCTAGACTATAGCCGCTTACGGCTAGAGCCTACTAGCGAAGGAGGCTAGCCGATGGGAAACGGTAGCCTATACCAGGATTCGGGAAGCTGGTCTCTTAGCGGACCAACTCCCCTGACATGTTATCTGTCTACATGTATTTGGCCAATTTCTACTCTTTAGAGCCGTTTCCTGAAGCCTGCTAGACGCTAGAGCCTAGAGCCTGCTAGCTAAGGAGACTACCAGACCTCGGGAAGCGGCAAACTGTTCTCTTTAATAGCTAGCCAACTACCCTGGCATATTATCTGTCTATTTGATGAGCTTTTACTCTTCCAACTGCTTCCCGAAGCCTGGTAGAGACTACCTGCATTTGTCCTCCTACTCTCCAAGCAGAGGTCTGGGTTTGGGGTTATTTTTAGCGTGTTTTTAGGCTTTTTTATCGGGGTTTCTCTTTTGCACTGATTTTTTCAAATCAAACCCAATGTTGGTGGAAAAAAATTCAGTGCAAAAGAGAAACCCCGATAAAAAAATCCTAAAAACACGCTAAAAATGACCCCAAACCCAGACCTCTGCTTGGAGAGTAGTGTCCTCCGGCTGGAAACTATTACCTTATGTGGGCATGACCAGTAACGGTTGTTGTGGGTTCGGTCAGGCAGAAAATCAGCGGTCACGCCCAATAGGACATTACAAACACTTCTGCTGCTAAAATTAGTCCCAAGAGACTTTGAAGATAAATAAAACGTTTTGAAGGCAAGCCAGTAGTAACAGTAAAACTTTAAGGGAAAACGTTGATGGGGGAAAGTTGACAGGTGACATCTGTTTTTTTTTTCGCTGGATTGAAATCTCAGTAGAAATATAAGCTTTTAAAATTGCCCCAATAAAAATATATTTGTACTGAAAACGTAAGATGTGTTACGTACTGGGAAAACCCCACTACTTCAGAACTGGCTGTTTTATACTCTTCTCCATTTTGAATCATTCTTTGATTCTGAAATATTGTTATACGTGTACAATGTTTATGAAAGTAGACCAGATTCTAAGTACAGTTAGTAAAACTGTTAGATATTTTTAGCTGCACCAACTATGTATGTATGTTAGCATCACCAACTATGTATGTGTATTTTGTCATAGTACGTTGTACCCGCTACATCTGTTGCACGATTAAGTTCTTCTTCTATCAACATTTTTGGCGCTTTCTGTTCAAAGAATATTCAACGAACCGTCCGCCCGTCCTACCTAAGATCTAAGTCCATCCTTCTGATTGGTTGGCATCAGACGCGCAAAATTCGAAGGGCGGACATATCCCTTCGCGTCACGTGTGGTGAATAGAAAGTCGGACGCCTTTGTTCGGCAAACAATACCCGTCTCCTGTCTCCTAAAGGGGCCCTTTTCGGGAGCTGCAAAGTCAAGTTTAGCACTGCGATCCATGCATGTACACGGATTCCTTTCTTTCCAAAGTTTTCTTACAAGTTCAGGAGTGACTTGTGTTAGATAAGATAAAATATTATATTAAATAATAGGATATGATATAGAAGAGGAATTCCACAAGAATTGTACATGATACAATGTATGGCAGTAACTACTAGTATTGAACATGGTACAAAAAAGGTATGAGATAAAACTTAGCATCCTAATCACTAAAACAACAAGGGCCAGCACAATATACAGTAGGGCTACTCATGAGATTCTGTATACTTTACTCCAACCAAGGACATTATACACAGACCCCTCCAACCTAACGAAATTTTAATGTGTATATCAGTAATTCGTGTTGTCGTGAGTACCGTCCTACGGTGACCACTTTGTATATTTGTTATTTTGGTCAAGGGTAATTACTTTTAACTAATTAGCACATTGTAGTTGCAACCAATTCAGGGCCTATGCCCTGCGAGATGTAACATGTGCACGACGAACAATAAACCAGTATTATTAACCTCACTGTCCGAACTGCTAGTAAGTCGCGGCGGGCGGCCTCTTTGATGCGTAGCGGACGGATTCGCCAGGTATGAGGGCGTGACGCGGCCCAGGACAATAACACCATCCCGTGCCGTGAGATCTCTACTCACGTACAGCAAGCCAGGCTCCAAGGTGACTGACTCAGACCGCTCATCGCAATAGCAACCCATCCCCGAGTTAAGTCCCACCCGGCTGAGCTGGTCCCACTATATTAGCCACACCCAGCCGGTGGTATAACATTCCCGGCTGCCGCCCAACAACCCATGCACTGTGTATAGTTGTACCGCATGCACAGGGCGCGCAGTACGTAACCCTCGCACGGTGTACACGTACGTATAGCCAAGTGCAAGTTCACGGGGAGAATTATTAAGGATTCCCCGAAACCGTCACAGTTTAATATGAGCGACGACGACGACTCGGCCGGGCCCAGGGTAGCGGCCTACCGGCCCAAGCGCAGCACGGACTCGCGCTGGGTCGAAATCCAGAAGAACACTTTCACCAACTGGGTGAACGAGTCGCTGAGGCCTCGCGGGGAGGCAGTGGGAGAACTGGGGGAGGACCTTCGCGACGGGACCCGGCTGGCCACCCTGCTAGAGGCGCTGTCCGACCGCAAGATTCCCAGAGTCAACCGCAACCCCGTCAACAACCTACAGAAGATGGACAACGTGTCCCGGTGTTTGGACCTCATGAAGAAAGAAGGCATCAAGACAGTCAATATCGGTAAGTTTGGGGGGAAATACTAGTTGTAGTTCAAGTCTGTGCGGTCATCTTAAGGTTAACTCTTAAGGTAAAATTATTATTCCGCTCTTTGACATGGCTTAGGACACCCCCTTGTTGACTCGAAGGCCCCACATTTTGGACGAGGCAAGGCTAAAACATGTAAAATGCCTTCACCTCGGGTGTTCAGATCTTACATGCCTGACCGGTCGCCTTTTGTTGCCCTGCCACCGGGATCATTGCTGTACCCTCAGGGTTCCGCTCCTAACGTACTAGTCTCCACCAGACTTCTTTTGCAGGCTGAATAAATCGTAGAAATCGGCCTAAAAAGAGTATTAATTGGCGAGAGAAGGTAGCCAGCCATCGACGATCAAATTGGTCGATGGTCGGCTACCTTCTCTCGCCAATTAATACCCTTTATAGGCCGATTTCTACGACTTATCCAGCCTGCAAATGAAGTCTGGTGGAGACTACTAAACGTACATTTCTGCTCAATTTTCCCCCGCCAAAATTATTACACTAAAGACAGTCTTTGAAGTCTTTCCACGCGGACGTGCCAGCGTGTCGTCTTGCGATGTTTTTGTCGACGCGACAAGATTTGTGCCAGGGACGTGGCCAAAGTCGAGAGCAGCAACATTGTTGTTTGATAATCGATTTTGAACTCTGTTTTTCTGTGCGTCCGTGACTGCCTTATATGTGTTTTGGGCTCCATTCTTGGGCAGTGCCAAAACCAATGGCGAAGTGTTTCTGTATGTATGTGTGGTACCGATCGTCTTATTATTTGACAGGGTGCGAAATTGTCATTTCACAGCATGTTTTTGGGGAATGCGGCGTTAAGTTCATAGTGAAACCAGCGCACAGCTCAAGTGTTTTCATCGTCCATGATATATTGTACATTTTAAGGACAAGAATATATAGGAATGGTATGGCATACAAATGTTTTAAAGTTTAAAAATAATTTGTGTCACCATTGTCTCTCTCTCACATCCTTGGTATCACTTGTAGTGCACAATTGATAGATCTTTCAGTAAGTCATTAAAATGAGTTTTAGAAAAGGCCAGTGTATTTTCTATATTTTCTGTAAGTTGAGATCATGTCAATGACCTTCTTATGACCTCTCAATGAAAATAAGTGGTAACAACCTAGAAGTTCACTACTATCCACAATTTCATTGCTATCTTTAACAGTATGTATATGTTATGTCCACCAAAACTTACTTTTCTTATTCACAAGTTCACAAAAAAATTTATAATATTAATATCAGGTCACATATTGTGAAGCCTAATAGAATAATAGAGCCCCTCCCAATGTGAATTATTTAGTGGCTCTTGGGAGGGTCTTTATGGAATGCTTTATTAAATATTCTACGATATGATTTCTAAAATGTATTTTATACTAGTATTTTGAATCATCAAAAGGGGTCAATTTTTCCATGATGTAAAACAATGTTTTCTTACCCTGTACAATTGGCGGAGAGGGGCTCATAAACTGTTAATGAAATTTCCACACAAAAGTAATCTGTAGGTTCTCAAATATTCAAACATTACCCTTGTCTATATCATTTATAGTATACACCTGCACAGCTCCAAACTTACCTGCACTACCCTGCATATATATATACCCAGGACATGGACCAGTGCAGGTTAGGTGCAGCTAGACATCAGAAATACCTACACAGCCTCAATTTTTACCTGCACTAACCTACATACACCCAGTACATGAACCAGTGCAGGTTAGGTACAGGTAGACATCAGAAATACCTGCACAGCTCCAATTTTACCTGCACTAACCTGCATATACCCAGTACATGTACCAGTGCATGTTTGGTGCAGGTAGACATCAGAAATACCTGCACAGCCCCACTTTTACCTGCAATAACCTGCATATACAGGTAGTATGTTGAGCCTTGACTAGATATCCTTGGAGAGAGAACTGTCACAGTGACTCACTCTATAAGGGCACCTCCCAGTTTCCCTGTGCCTTTGTGTTAGGTACAAAGGTGGGAGGGACAGTGCATTAAGCATTGTACATGGGACAAGGGACTGTTCATTAACCCCTGTAATTCTTCAATCATACCACCCATCAAATTACCCCGTTTTTATTGATGATCAGCAGTGCATGGAAGGGAACAGTACTTACAAAATTTACTTATCAAATGGTATGCTGATACCACACCCTAGTACAATGTCTAGCACATCAATTGAAAACACAGGAAGTTAATATACATGTTTTGAAAGTTACCAATTGCTGGTAAAATTCACAAAATATTCCTGAAAATTAAAAAAATTTAGGTACTTAGAATGTTCAAAAGTTAAGTGGGAACATTGTGATACTACTACACCTAACATTCAACTTAATTGAATTTTGTCAAAAAAAACCTCAGCTTCCCAAGAATAGAAAAAGAAAACCAAAGAAAACATACAAGTACTATTACCAGGTAATAGATTGTTGTAGGCTCAGGATGGTATTATATGATGGCAAGAAAATGCATGCATATTTTAGATTGCAAGTTTCTTTCCTGTGCCTGGCTTAGGAAGCCAGGTCCCAATGGGAAAACAGCCTTTGTTATTCCAATGACTTGTACAATACAGAGCAGAGGAGCCAGCCAGCCATATTGTTCCACACTTGAAAGGGAAACGCTGCAGTGACAACAAGATTTTAAATCAAACTGCTTTGGGTAGCAAAACATGTCTTGGCACTGTTTTATAAAGAAACTGACTGCTGTGTCACTGGAGTTTTTTTTTCAAATTTAGGTTGACTCACCACACTAAATGTAACCAGTGGTTAGCTTTGGAGGTTGGTTGAAATTACAGAGTTATTGAATGTCAAGCAATTGAGTTGTTACCACAGCTTTGAGATATATTCTATGGGAAGTGAACATTTTTGTCTTTTCTTAAAACTCTTTGATGATGTACATTCAGGTAAATTCTTACATAGGGATGGTCTACTGCACATACATGTAAACAGAAGTAGAACAGTAGCTACAAGCAATTGACCCCAGCCAGTATTGTTTGTTAGGAAAGGTCAGATCCTTGCCCCAGGGCCCAGTACTTTCATGGTGGGAAGGTGGGAACAGATACTAAAACTTGTCCCTGGGCCTTACTTGTGACCCTTGTTGGAAGTTATCCAGTGAAAGCTGTCACTCCATTACATACAATACATGTTTTAAGGTTGCATTTTAATTTTTGTAGAATTTAGTTTTCCACAGCTTATTATAAAAGATGGCATTATTAAATTTAGTGTTTTTATATCCATATCTACTTAAATCTTAATGGATAATGCATTTAATTGGGCTATTTTTTAACTCTTTGAAAAATTTTTTTTCACTTTGCAAGTGAAAATATCCAGTTTCAAAGTACCTTGTCAGTGCCAATACATGCAGTCATCAAGGGATAGGTTTTTTATGTCGTTTTTTGTAATACCAATTGTGTTCATGCATGTTCTAGTTAAAAAAAGAGAGACCATCGTATTATAAAAGTGTGAACCCAAATCTATATTTTGCAAAATACGCTGTTGTAAACTTAGACCGTAAACCTGGAAAGCTGCCATCTTTTTTGCCACACAGTCATCTGGGGATTTCATAAAAAATTCATCAAAAGAAAACAGTCTACTCAGGTACATTTCCTGCCCATGCAGGAGTGACCTTTGCATGTTTTTCACCAGGACAAAGAAACTCTGGACAACAATGGCATGGATTAAGCTTTAATAATTTGAAGACTAAATTGTTTTGACAGATGCACAGCTCGTATTTTTCACGTACTAAGTCAATTTAGGTATATTTTAGCTTCTAAATTATATTAAAATAGAGTCTGACTTTAAATCCGGGCAAAATTCCAGAATGGTTTATGATGAAAGAGGATTTTCATCTGACTACAGTATTGGAAAGGCAAAAATAATTGATTTTTTTGGTTATAAAATTTGGATGTACAAAAATAGGAAAATCACTTTTCAGGAGTGTCAACTCCATGTGTTAGAAATAAGAGCTAAATACAATTTCTTGAATGTGACTCAGAACTGTTAGGCCGCTTACTTTTCAATGCAAGCTCACTAACAGTTACTCATAGGCAGTGTGTATGTTCGTTTTCGCAAAGTGGCATCATCAAAGATTAGCGTCTAAAATAATTATTTTTACACTCTTGATTGTTTATCAAAGCAAAGTTGAATCAAACCAGAACTTGAAACAATTATACCGGTCTCTGTGAGGCAAGAGTGTGATTGTTACGATGGAAAACGTTACTTGTTTTGTATTGGCTGTTTCTAGCTATTTACGGGTGGTACCCAAAAAATAAAGACATGGTGCCAGATGTCAATATCAGACAGATTTTGTCATCCAGAATTAATCTTTTGCTTTGCCACCTGAAATTGCAATGAAAGTGCCTTTAAGGCTTGTAAGATTTTTTAATATTTTTTTTATTTATTCCAACATGCAAAATATACAATACATAGTGGTGACGCACTCAAGCTACATGCCCATATTCACGTCACCACTGGACATAAAATAAAAATTACATCACAAAACACAAAACATGGGAATCGTCCAGGTAACGAGTGAACAGAGTTTACTAATAGGTTTTAAGATATTATAAATGAAAACAATAGTATAAATCAATTGTTAAATTGCTTGGTTTCAGAGAGATATAACTGTGAAATAATTAGTATTTGAGAGTTGAGTTTAGATGAAAGTAAAGGTGATTCATTAAGTAACAGGTATACAAAAGCACTATCGGATAAGTTGTTAATATCTAAGGCCACACCAATTTAATTTGTTGGTTCTCGGATTTGCCTCTTAATTTTTTTCTGATTTGCAAAAAAAGATTCTGGTTCTGAATCAACTCAAAAATGCTCATATTTTGCCCCCAACAGTTGAGGAAATTCCTTTTCTTCCTAGTTGTTACAGTTTTTTCCATCTATCAATGCAGTGGTTTGATTAAAAGTTCAAAATTTATACTTTAAATTTTAACCCAGCCTTTTTTGTTGACTTCATGGCTCATATTGTAGCATTTGGGGCTATAATAGGATGCCTAGACCTGTTTTTATTTTATTTTTTTTTGCCCTGTCGCTTCATATTTTTTCTGAAAAAATCTGAGAACCAACAAATTGGTGTGGCCTAAGGCTTATAACTGCAAGATCATTGTTATTGTCTGACGAATGTGTCTCGCTCGACACCTTAACCATCCTCCCGTACCCTCATCAGCTGTGCTCATCATTTATTGATAACTAAGACAAGTGGGACTCTTAAGAGCAAAGGTCGTACCTGAAACACACGATGGACTGCTTTTAAATGACTGTGGAAGACAAACCAACTGGGAAAATTGTAATTTAAGCATTTCATATCCAAGGAATAGCATTATATTTTCCTTCTCTTGGCCTATGAATATAGATGTCTTCTTTGTCTAGATAGATAGATGGTCATCTGTATGGAACAATGCTGATTGTAAAATGAAATCAGGATCTATAAGATACTTTCATGGTCAGCCCCCGCAATTAGTAATATCACAAATTTTCACAAAAATATCAAGGTAAAAGATATCACATACAGTCATCTGAAACTTCATATCTTCATAGTGTACTTTTTGTGACTCAAATTAAGTATCACTGGAAGTTTACAGTAACCAAAACGGTCCTCTCATTTAAGTTTTATTTTGACAGTCACTCGATGATGAGCTTGCTTGATATACATGTACTAGTAACAGTCAAAAGATAGATTTCTTAAGATTCTGAAGTGTATCATACATGTGGTATAAATTAACCAATCCTGGGGTCAATTAAGGCCAAAGCCATCTTAATGAAAATTTTACTATTTCATAACTGTAATGTACTTTACTATTTTATAACCATAGCCCATGGGGCATGGTAACTGTCGTGTGTGCAGTATTTATGACGCATTAAGAGAGTTCTTGGATGGAAGCACTTGTTACAACATTCCTACACAATAGCGTGCAGCACAGAGAGTAAGTATAGAGTCCCTGTCCTTGGGGGAGGGGGGCCTCATGCATTTACCATGAACGCATAATCTTAAGAGCTTAAGTACACAAAGGTTCAGATGTAAAATGAAAATTACATTTAGTGATAAAACATCAGCAAGCAACAGACTCTTGTACCAATACCTGTGGAGTCAACAGTATTTATTACTGATAAATAAATGATTTCAGACTCACAGCTCAGACAATTTCACGTGGATGTTTTTCTTCATCTAAATCATTTCATTAGGATCAAAGATTTTTTTCTCCATTTAATAGATTGAAATAATCGGTGAAACTTGAGAAATGTTTTTTTTTTCAATGATGATGCCTCCTTTGCACATTTTTTTTAGTTGGATATTCTTTATTCTAGATTTAGGGACACCCCATAAGCCACCGGAATAAGATGATATCATTGGCGCCATGTTTTAACTGCATCCAGACTCAATCTTATAAAGTGCAACTTAATATTCTCAATGGCATATCATAGTGCAAATAAAAGTGTGCCGCAAGGACATTAACTTTGTGTGCAGTAAGTGAATCAACTGGTAATGACTAAAATGCTTTGTAGGTGTTGAGCTAGAAGTTAAAATAAAGAGGACCTGAGTGTATGAAATGGCCTACCTTAAGTATAAATAAAAATCATACAGGCACCAGAACGGGGAATAGTAAAAATAAACTCAGGGTGGAATGTATTAAAACATGAAATAAAGGCAAGACCCATAAAATGGTCCAATCTGCACTAAACTGAGTTCTCCTGACCACTAAGTTTGAAATCACACCAGGTTTACCTGGCAGCAGGGCTGGAAATACTGGGTGCATGTTACCTTCACCTTAGTGTACCCAAATTTGGAGCTGTGAACCCAATTTTTTTTCTGTGGGTGCACCATTGTACCCAAATATTTTTGGAGGTTTACGTAATACGTAAAGATGTTAGATATATAGTATTATACAGCATATTCTTAATATCTAAGTGTCAGAAAAATAATCAAAGTCATTGTAACAGTTGTAGTTCTTTTTTTTAGAAATGATGATTAGGCCACACCAATTTAATTTCTTGGTTAACGGATTTTTCTAGAAAAATAATGGAGCGGGCGGGCGAAAAAAAAAGAAAATAAAAACAGGCCTTAAGGCATCCTATTATGCCCCAAAATGGTACAATAGGAGCCATGAAGTCAACACACTAGGCTCGTTCAAAATTTAAACAGTGAATTTTGAACTTTTAATGACACCATTGCATTGAAAGATGGAATAACTGTAACAATTAGGATAAAAAGGACTGTTTTCAACTGTTCAGGGCAAAATATGAGCATTTTGCAGTTGATTCTGAATTTTTATTTGCAAATCCGAAAAAAATGAAGTGGCGAATCCGTTAACCAAGAAATTAAATTGGTGTGGCCTTATGCTTATTTTTATATGGTGCACCCAAAAGAATTTTTGTGTAGTACCCAATTTTTTAGGTTGAGTGCACCTATTCCCAAAAATGAATTTCGAGCCCTTACGTGGCAGAAGACCCTGGGAAGAACTCTCCTCTTGGGACAATCAAGACAGTCAATGGCCCGTGTCTCTGTCTGCCTGACACTCAATTATCCTTTGTCTGCGAGTGTCGGGATGTTCTCACGGCCTGTAGTAAGATCTGTGAGTTCTGTGCCTGGAGGCTATTGGACAGATAAATTATCACAGGAATGCCACGTTCCCTTCTGAAATTTTTCTGAAACTGTCCCAAGGTAATTTTTGTCCATTTTTCTGGCTGATGCTTCAGCATACTGTCCTCAATCTTTGAGAAAGTTAAGAATTCTATCTAGAATTGCATTTTTTGGTGATTGGAATGGAATGTTGTGTTGTCCTTAAATCATTGACCTTTGAAACTTCAGGCATATCCGCTGTCCTAGGCTTCGAGTCCTTGACTGCTGAAGCTACATTGAATGGGATTAGCTCCATTACTGCTTTAAAAAAATGAGTGTTTGAGAGATCTCTATTACAGCACCCTGAGGTATGCACAGTAAGATATTGCAGGATATTGCAGATACATATATCATTCAACCCTTTTTCCTGGACAGGTAGCAACGTGTTTTATTTTTGACCAATTCGTTGAGTCATTTGTATTCTGATTGTACTATAAGGCAAAGAAGAGATTTGCACACTTGAATGGATCTGAGCAGCAAGCTTAACAATCTTCCGGCAAAAACTTTTAGGATTCAAGTACAGCATAGAGATACAAAAAGTCATGCACTATTTGGAATATGAAATCTGTAATTTGATCGCTGCACGGGTAGACATGTTTATCAACATTGCAAAATTATAGGTAACCAATTGTTCGAAAGACGATCACAACACGAGTTCAATGTTTGGTTCAGCGAGCATTACCAAAGGGAGGGCCTATTGCCCCGAGGGCTTAAAAAGTGTGGGAAAGTTAAGTCAAAGAGGTTTTGTGTTCTATACTAGTGTAACAGGTGGTTGAGAACAGGCACAGGGGGTGTCACTACCTGAAACCTGTATATGACAGTGAGTGTCTCTTGTCACGTGATCATCCCATCAAGTCAGGTGACAAGAGAACTCGAAGACAAGATCTTAACCAGGTTGAAGAAGAGACAGAGTGTGTCTCGAAAGCTCCCCAGTGTAGCTGAACTTTAGTTGTGTGTTTTGGTATAATTTATTTGTCAAAAGGTGGTTGAGAAGTGTTCTCCAGATAGAGATCTGTGCGTCAAGTGTCCCTGGTATCAGGTTCTTGAATTTATAGAAATCAGGAAATAGTAATGAAACTTGTAATCTTAACTAGTAGGAACTAAATACAGTTGGATATTGTATGTGAAGACCTGGTATTAGTAACTTTTCACAGGTCATGGAATGTAAAGGACAATTATTGTTACATAGTAACATTTTCCCAATGCATACATGAAACCTAATGTTTACGTTCAATATATTTGACAGTGTGATACAGAGTTTTCTAACTTTGTGATACAGAGTTTGCTGACTACATTTTGTGCCATAGCAGTAATGGAGGTAAAGCAAATTTAAATTAATTCTAATTTCTTCTTAAAATTATCTACAGTAATCTTCATCTTGTCTAAAATCTGCAGGAAACGAAGATGTGATGGAGGGAAACGAGAAACTGATGCTGGGTTTGGTCTGGACACTGATCCAGCACTACCAGATCAGCCGGGGCAGCGGCGGGCAGAAGGGGTCCAAGTACTCCCCCAAGAAGCACATGCTTCTCTGGCTGCAGACCGTTCTCCCAGAATGCCGCGTCACCAACCTGTCCACAGACTGGAATGATGGGATAGCTCTAAGGTCAGTGGAAACAGGTGTTATGTACTTCAAATGTAGCAAGGCCATTTGAATGAAAGCTCATCTGTGTTGGTAGAATCCATAGATTCTGAACTGTTGTAGAGTTTAATCTTTGTTCCAACTCATAAGCCTTAGGGTGATTCTGTCTTCCTGCCACTTTACATATTACACAGGTTAAAACTTGACAAATAAATCTACTCCATGTTGATAGATATTATGACAGCTGACTTCTGCATTTGTATCTGTATTAAAGTCTCAGTATTTATATAAATGCCTTTGCCAAGAAACTTTGAATGTCAAATAATGTTTTAGATGCCATTTGTGTGTGTACGTCGATGAAGGTTAGACATCCAGGTAATACGATACGCCGAAAAACAGTTACTCAAGCAACTGGATATGATTTTGAAATCATATCCAGTTGCTTGAGTAACTGTTTTTCGGCGCATTTGTGTGTGTGTTTGTGTGTGTCTGTGTTTGTAGACAGCATAACTCATATTTTGGAAAAGTTTTATTATGGACCACCTGGCAGTGGTACTGCAGCAGAACTTGAATCATTAGGTATTTTCCCCAATCTCTCCCGCAGTGCCCTTGTTGACTACTGCCGGCCTGGCCTGGTGCCTCACTGGAGGAGTCTGAACCGCCAGGATGCCTTACAGAACTGCCGCAACGCCATGGACATCGCTGAGAGGGAGTTCAACATTCCGCAGGTAATGGCATGGCCATATTCATCAAAGACTGTCCTGCAATTTTAATCTTGTAGAATTTGCAGTCTAGCTGACTGACAGAACCAACCACTGAAAAAGTTCCAAGACAGCTTAATTTCAGGACAGGTGTTTTCTACTGGTCTTAAAATGTTGACAGCTGTTGCTGTATCCCAGGAACCAATTGTTTATCGATGACGTTTCTAGTCTGGAAATTCAGGCATTTGGGCTCCATGTTGACAATGTCTTAGTTTTTATATTCTGAGGCAGTGATGTGTATATCACTGCCCCAGTGATGCGTATTTATCAAATTTTGAGTTTTTGTGATACTCACTAGCTAATTGGACTACCATCGCTGCTGTTTGACAATTTTCCAATCGACTCTGCACTGAACAAAATCTGTCTTTCTCTGCCCTAACCCCAGGTTGTGAGCCCAGAGGACTTCTCAGACCCGTCCCTAGATGAGCTGTCTGGCATGACATACCTGTCCTACTATGTGAAGGAGGATGGACCAGGCTATGACGCTGCACTCGAGGCCCTCAACAGCCTGGTTCCTGAGGCTAAGGTCATCAACTTTCAGGTGAGGAACAGAAATTATGTAGAATAAAGAGTCTTTTTTACACAACCAAGTTTCTTATCCAGCTGACATTTCTGAAACCATCTGTCACCTTTCTCAGGGCAATTCTGACTGTTCACATTGCATAGCGCAGGTGTCACTGCCATAGATACATTCCCCAGTACAAAGTATTTCCATATCTACACAGTTGACAGTCTGACATCTTGACTTCCAGTCATTCTGCCTGTCAATCTTCCCCCACCCAAGTGCTGTCAACCTACTCTGTCTGGATGAACAGACCCACAAACCCACATCTCAGCCACCAAAAAACAATACATCCCAAAGATTAAAATTCCCATGTGAAGAATCATTTCCTGACACCACTCCACCCTTTCAATTTTATTTCCATGACCTGACCATATCCTTACCTATTCCTGACCCCTATCCTCAAACTCATCTCTAAGAATTTTATTGGATCCCTTTAACTTTTTACCTGGCTGGTAAAATACACATCTTCATTTGAACTTGAACTTTTGTGGCTTTTTCATGGTGCATAAACTGCTTCATCCATCTAATAAGCAAAGATATCTTTGACTTGGGGTCATAAAAATGGAATTAACATTTAAATGAGCACCATATATCCATGTCCTAAAGCTAAAGCAAGACATTTACGGTAGTGCATCAGTCCTTGTGGTTAAGGAGTCTATTTGTAGTTAAGAATAGCTGTTCATTACAATCAGGATGATAAAAAACCTAACCTAAGTCTGTGCATGCCTCTGATAACAGCTCTGTCCTTGGTGCTGAATGTTACGCCAATGGAATAACAATGGAAAAATTACATATTATAGGCAAAAGTGGCTGAAAAAATTGATGTAAATGTTAACTAATTTAATAAAAGAGACCAGGGCCTGCTTTACAAATTGTTTGATGGGTGTATTGAGAAGAATCCAACAAAATAAGCTGGAAAACTTTTCCTTACCACATATTTTTGTCATCAATCATTTTACTATAATCAGAATGATAAAAAACCTTATCTAAGTCTGTGCAATGCTGAAAGTTACTCCCATGTATTGACAATGGAAAAATCACATTTTATGGCCAAAAGTTGCTGAAAAAAATTGATGTAAATGTTAACTAGTCTAATAAAAGAGACAATGGCCTGTCTTACAAATCATTGGATTGGTGCATTGTAAAGAATTCACCAGAATAAGCTGTAAAGACTTTTCGTACAATGTATTTTGGTCTTCAAAAACATGCAAGTTGCAAGAGTGATTCTGAGACTGGATATATTTTGTTTGATAGTCTACCTGAATCTCAGTGCGAAGTCATAATGCAAGCTATTGTATGAAGTGAAAGAGCTTTGTGCTGCTGTTTCATGTAATGGGTGCAAAATAAGCTGGAAAGACTTTTTTATGTATTTTGGTCTTCGAAAACATGCAAGTTGCAAGTCTTAGAGTGATTCTGAGACTGAATATACTTGTTTGATAGTCTACCTGAATCTCAGTGTTAAGTCAAGGCAGGCTTTTGTATGTAGTGAAAGAGCTTATAATGTGCTGCTCTGTTTCCCAACTTAGTGAGCCAGCAAATTGTCGGATCACAGCTGTTACAATGACGTCAAAGTGGTGGAGAAGCAGTTTCTCAATGCTACATCGATGAGGCTTTGTCAATTCATGTTTTTGTTTCTGATATATTTGAACCTACTAGTAAGACTCTGCAAGACAACACTACTGGTAGAGATATTCTGATTGGAGTCTCTGTTACAAACTCTGTTCAGGATCTCCAGTAGAATCGGCAATTCTATCAGATCAGAGTCTCAACCCTGACAAATATATTGCCATTGTACGTCGAGGAAGGTTAGACATCCAGGTATTACGAGAAACTGGATATGATTTTGGAAACGGTCAGACGTTTCAGCTAGTATCCACTAGCTTTTGTCAGTGACTGACTGAGAGACCAGAGGAGAAATGCAGGTTAAATAAGCACAAACTATTGACTGACAATTTGGCATATTGCCATAATGATTGTATATGGGACAAGCCATTCTTGCCATTTTTTTCAGTAACACTTACAGACCAGACTGACAGACCATAAGTCCAAGTCTACATAAATGGATATAATAGCATATCTATAGGCTTTGTTAGTGACAAATATAACTAGCAATTTAATTGAATTCAAACAAAGCTAACTGCATGTAAACACATCCAAATTTGCACTCGGGAGGCTTGACAGCAAATACTCAGAAATTCGTTTTGTTAAAATCGACGGTCTCATTTACAAATCCAGATGTTCCTTGTAATTGTTTGCCTGCAACCGTGACATTACGTTGAGGCCCTACATACGCACATGTAAATAATGCCACGTTCCTCTGGGACACATTAACATTTAGGGCTAATCACCAAGCTGGTGAGATATATCAAATTAATTGGTGAATAATGTACATAATGTACCACACAGATGGATGGTACTCTTGACCTTCCTTTACCTGAAGGTCGTTACTTGTAGTTAGTGCGGTGTTGTACACATTTTTCACACAGTGGCAGTTATGGCTTAGACGTGCTTGAGCCTTAAATAGGCTAATTTAACCTGAGAGTTGTAATTTACCTGAGAGTCGCAATTCTTCAGGCAATTGCTTATTTTCACCCTGGATATTTTTCTTTGGAAGGAAACTAAATGACAGACTGGTACTAGCAGCAGCAGTTTTATATTTCAAAGATTCTGAAAGAATATTATAATTATTATACTTATTTTGAATTATATTCGGTATGCATCTTCCAAAATCCAACAAGGGGACACTGTGCTGTGCCAAAAATATTCAAGCAACTTTCGTCAGTGACACTAGAGAGTTCTCAGAAGAGCTGAGTTTTGTAAGCACGAACTACTTCTACTGTGTTGCTTCTTCAGAAAAAAATGTATCAGATTCTGACAGCAAGCTAAATTAAAAAAAAACATTTAATACTGTAGCCAAATGCTATTTTGTACATTGAAATGCCCACATTCTCAGATAATCAAATTTGCCATGCACATTTTTTCTACTGTTAGTGTTCTTAGAACAACGAGTAGATTTATGAGCAAAAGCATGACCTTGGAAGTGTAGCCTTTCCGGTGTTTACAAAATAAAAGGGACATTTCACACTCTTCAACCCAACCTCACATTCCAGTCCAGCTCACATCAGTTGCCTGGTAGTCACCCATGCATGACAGTGGTAAAGACAGTACCTTCTTCTGTTGTCTGCTCAGCTTTGTAAGATAGCAGGGAATTTCAGGTCACTAAGACTTGTGCTCAGTTACCAATCAATTCTGCTGATTTCAATAAATACATCAGGATATCTAGCAACTGGAGCTGTTGGAATGATCAATCTCTTAATTTCTTGCAACAAAGGAAGAAGAAGAGAAAAATCTCATTGTACATATCAGTATCAGGTTTTATTCAATCCAGTAATAGTTGATTTATTTATGATGGTTTTATTTAGAAAAGAGGATAAACTTAAAGTGTTGCAGTCTCTATAACCAGAAGAATACCTGACAAGCCCTTCTAATCCAATGTTATACCCTTCACAGTTGTTGAAGTTACTTAGTTCTAGTCAAATTGATAGAAAGACTTAAACGAAGTCATTTAGTGAATCAATAATGAAAGAATCAACCACAGAAAGAAAGCTCGGACAATTAGGGAACCTATTTTGCTTTTGATGTATTTTTTTAGCCTCATGCCTTTTGAGTCTACGGTTTTTACAAGCACAACTTAATGACCCCTTCAAATCCTTTTATGAGCCTTTTGCATCCATAACAGTTGAAGCAATAAGCCCCTGCAGTCCTTTAATGATCTTGGGACAATGAGTCCAATAGCAATAGGCCTTGTTATGTGCTTAGGGTGGATAACACAAATAAAGTCTTTGGGAGGAGAGGGCTAATAGCATTGATTGTGGGCAAATTGATTGCAGAACTTAAAGCCTCTTTGAAACTTTATCTGAAGTGAGCATTTTTTAAATTACATGTATGTGCTTCATCTAAAAAAAACTAGTCTACATATAAAAATTATATGTTTTAAATGTTGCAGTATAACTTTAAATGTTGCTTTTTAACTATGGGATAAATCATTCTTCATTTGGTGTAATATAGTGTGCCTGCAAAGATGGTGTGTTACACTGAAGGGCAGTTATAACGACTATACACTGATACAGACACAGAAATATTCTGGGAAAAGTATTACTGAAACACGACCCAAAAAAAAAAGACCCTGGCTGCAACATGATTTTATTTTACCAAGCTGGTCATTTTCATTTTGATTGACTCACTCAGGTGCTTGTTACCTTGCAGATGGGTGCAGGATTGTTCTGCAATCCTGTGCATTTTAATTTTGATTGACAGCTGTCTTTTTTCCTCTGTGTTGCCAGGGCAACCTTGCAGATGGGCATGTGCTATGCATTTGATTGACAGCTGTTCGTTTTGTGTTGCCAGGGCGATCTTGCAGATAGGCATGTCCTATGCATTTGATTGACAGCTGTTCATTTTGTGTTGCCAGGGCAACCTTGGAGATGGGCATGTGCTGTGCATTTGATTGACAGCTGTTCGTTTTGTGTTGCCAGGGCGATCTTGCAGATGGGCGTGTGCTGTGCGGGATGGTGCACCAGTTGGGCGGAGCCTGTCCCAGCTACCACACCCTCAGCCCACAGGAGGCCAGGGACAACATCACTCAAGGTAGAGGTGTGGGGAGGAACTAGGACGGAGGAAGGGCAAAGATTAAGTCAGTATCAAATCTGCTCAAGGTAGGGGTGTGGGGAGCAACTCCTTCCAGCCTTTTAACTCCCCAACTGAAGTGAGGTACCTATTTTACACCTGGGTGGAGTGAGAAAACTTGTAAAACTTGCCTTGCCTTGCCAAGGACACATCTAGCCATCAATGCCAAGGATCATGAGAACCTGTGACCTTTCTGCTAGCCTATAAACCACTCCATGAGGTGCCATTATGATGAATGTACAATAGTATGAAATGCATCTTGTATCAGTCCTTTTCTATTGGCTCTTGTAGGGGATCAGCACAATACAAGATTCAAATGACTGTAAATTTTTGTAGCATATAATGATTGCAAATTTCCAAACATTCTTAAAGAAATGGCGTTCCTTGAATATTTCAATTTCAAGAGACTTTTGTGTTCCCTCTTTAAAAAAGAAATTCATTGTGTGAATGCATCTTGTACCACTTCTTGTAGAAGATCGAGATTCAAACAACAGTATGTTATTGTAACACATGGTCATTGCAGGTTTCCAAAGGTTCTTGGAAAAACAGCATTCCATGAATGTTTCAATTTCAAGAGACTTCTTTGTTACCCGTTCAAAAAAACAAGGTCATTGTGTGAATGTCTGGGCCTATACTACATCAATCATTCAAGTGTTTAGAAATGGTGGATACAACCAATGTGATCCCAAAAGACAGATACAGATGTATGGGGGAAACAGGTGGGACAAGACAGGTGCAACAATAGTGTTTTTTCTGATGGAAATTTCTTTGTTTCGAGCTGAAGCTAGCTTTTATATTTGTGGTGTCCCAAGTGGCTGGATTCATCTTTTGCCACAGGTAAAATAGTCATGAATTTGAAATATTAATGTTGAAAATAATGACCATTGTGTTGTGTATCAGAATCTGTCATTTGTGTGAAAATCTATTTCAAAACTTACAATACAGATAATCCTTTATAAAGCATGGCAAGGTCAATGTAATGCAGGAATGTCAAATAAGACCATTGAAAGCCAATATCAAAACATGTAATGTGGTAATGAATTCTTTTGTGTGCTTTTGAAGTTAAAAATAGTTTGAAGTCTAGCAAAATGTATCACAAAATTAATGTAATACCATCTTTCATCAGAAAAATTATTAAAATTTAAGAGTTGATCAAGTCAGTTTCAAGGGGAATAAAAATATGCTGTCGAAAGCATATGCATAATTAACACTTAAGAAATCTGTCTATTAATCATAAACATTTCTTCACCAATTGATTGATGAGTTTTCAAGTGGCAGTACAGTTTTTAAATGGAAATTGCCTCCAAAGCAATTTAGTTGTCGGAATCTGTAAATTTTGCACAAAGAAGGGACATCCCCGGTGATTTCAAAAGGTCTGACCAAATTACTTCAACCCCCAGCTCTCATGATCTTTTAATTTCCCGGTAACATGCGAGCATTGTACCCGCGTAACGTATAGCCTGTCAGTGGAAATTTAGGACACTAACGGCGCATCTCATTGGTTGTAGTGGTCCCCGGAGTATTCTGCTTTGCACGAGACAGGTTTGAAATTATTATAATGAACTCACCTGCTGGGTGGAAATTGAGAGAAAGGGGACACATCAAGAGAAAGCGATATCTTTGGATAAAAACTCCAACAAGAGATAGGTTATTGAATGCATCTGTTGCAGTGTTAGTGGAAGATATTGCTTGGTCCTAGAGAAGGTATCTTTCACATTGTCTTTGTTGTTGCAATCAAATTTTGCTTCTTTCTGTGTATAAAAGAGTTTAGTTGTTCAGAGATTTGATCAATCAGGATTAATTGATCCTTTCAAACTCACCTGGCATCTTAAATAATAATCATTTATATAATTACATGTGCACTGTATGTTGTGTGAAGGTTTTGTGACCATCAAAATTTAGATGGCCGTCTGCATTCATTTACAGCACTGCATGTTAAACTGTATATTCTATGTTTTTTTGACAACATTGGTAGGGGAATAAGAAAATAAAATGTTTAATTGATCTCACAAAATTCACTTGGCATCTGTACTATTCTTATCTATATTTGCATTGTTACCTATGTTGCCTGCCTGCATTCATTTATAGAACTACCAGTATGTCTATATACCATGTTTATTGTGACAATTAGTTATTGGGTTATTGGGTGGACTGGCTACTCTCTCCATGCAGCCAAGGGCTAAATTATGAAATTATTAGGGCTTAATCGCAAGGGTTAATAGCAGAAGAAGAAACTAAATGTGGTCTGTTTAAATCTTCAGCGCTGAACTGGGGACAGAGCCTTGGCATCACACCAACGTTCACTGCTGAAGACCTCACCAGCGGCCAGGTTCCATCGCTCGCCGTCATGTCGTACATTGCTCAAGTCCAGGCCAAGGCGGACCCCGAGGGTAGACTGATCCACCGCCGGCGTAGCTCGGGCTTTCACGACGAAAACACAGAAGTTTTCCTTCAACAAGAGCTTCAATCCTCGACTGCAGCAGAAGTACAACGTTCAGCACACCACGAGCCTACCGTTGCCTTCACACCCAGTCACACCGATGAGCCGGACCGTGGCAGACCGGATTTCACCTTCCCACCACCCCCGTCATCCCCACCGCCTGAAGTTACAGAGTCAGCAACATTCTTCGTTCCCCCCTCCCCACCTATGTCTGAGGATGACCAAACAGAAACACAGGAGCCTCCTCCATCCGCAAGGTAGGAACTAGTCACAGGCAGGGCTGTTAAGTAGACTCTTGAGTTATTCCAATTTTATTTAATCTTGGCAATGTTAAACAAAGTCTGACATGGATTTGCCCATAACATACAATGAAGGAGATTCACATATCATACTTTTTCTCTTCTGTATGGGAGAGGATACTTACAAAAAGATGTCAACCTGTTCTATAGTGAGCGGAAGGTATTTCAGCACCATGTTGGAAAAGGTTGCCTAGGACCTAAAAAGACCAGTTTTAGATGCAAAAGGCTGGACTTATTCTATTCTAACTTGTATTATACAAGATTTTGCTGTTGAGCAGTTGAAATCCTTTGACAGCTAGATATAACATATTTCTCCTTTGTATGCTCATCTTATTACATGTAACACTTAATTGAAAAATTAAAAGAGGGTTTCAAGAAAATAGGTGATTCACATCTTTGCAATTTGTTGCTCCCAGGTTGCTCTGAAATTTTACACATCACATTGCTTCTCTTTGCCTCCAGGTATACAGAAATATCATCCCCAGTCTACCACCCTCCATCACCAACCACCTATGTGTATGCGCCCCCATCGCCAAGGGAAGAGCCAACGCCCATAGCAACCCACCGGCCTCCACCAATGAGCTGCCAGCAGGAAGTTGCCATGGAGATGGTGGATGAGCCCCTGATCGTGCCGGAGGTACCTGTCCAGAAGGCAACTAATCTGTTCTCTCTTCTGTTTTCTAACTTTGGGTTTGCTTTTGTGACTGGCAGCTGGAATTTATCATTGTTTTGTACAATGACTATCACCTATTCTGAAACACATGACAGTTTGAGTGCTTACAAAGTTGGCTTTTGACTTCTGTATTTTGTAACATGACTATCACTCACCTATTCTGAAACACATGACATTTTGAGTGCTAAAAATTTGGCATTTGAATTTTCATATAGCATTGTAAGAAGTTGTTGATGATCACATTGGTCACAGCAAAGTAAAGAATAAAATCATTGAAATATCTGTGCTTGCAGTTGCTACAATATTTTTCTAAATGCATGTGAAAGATATGTATTAACCATGCTTGCATGATATTACATTCTTCAGTTTAAAGTTTTTGCAACTATCCCTTCCCAATGTCTGCTTAAAACTCTTTGATTAGAATTTGGAAATCAAAGATCAGCTGTCAGTCACAAGTGCTTTAACTATTGCCTGCTTGTGCTTGTTTGATTTGCAGTTTTGAAATTACATTTATGCATTACCACAGACAATCATGACAATTACAACAGTCTACACAATCATACATGTGTCTAAAAGTTAAAGATGATTCTAAAAAACTTTTTTTCTAAAAAATTTTTTTGAATGAGACACCCTTGTCATGATGCAACTAAAAGGTAAAAAATTCCCATGGACTGCTATTACAGTTGTTTAGAACTGAAACTTTGCAACTTTAGAAAATGCAATTATAGTGTCAGTACAGAACTAGTTAATATTTGATTAAATACCATATTTTTTGCATCACTGTACACTTTAACTATGCTGGAAATTGATGCACAACACAAGTACTTTTAACCAAAAGTAATATTAAAACTAATTTAATATTAAATATGAAATTCTGGAAAATCATCGACTGATATTACAAGACATCTACTTACATGTAACAAGTCATTCCACTCCACTACATATGATAGAATTATCCATGTCCATTTTTTATAACATTTGACCAAATTTGTACATACCAATTCCCACACATCCATCCCAGACATTTTGCAACAGAGTTCTACCAGCTCTGATTATTTATATGCTTGCCTCCTGTGACTATGTCACATCACGTTTTAGTTCTCCTTTGCGACATTTTTGCAACATTTTTTGAAACATTTCCATTTTTGCAACATTTTTTTGCCACATTTCCATCTTGTTCTCCACATCTCTTCATTAACATTCATGCATTATGGGATATACTTAACTTGAGGATACGTGTACTTACAAAAAGTTGTTAACATGTTCTATATTGAATGGAAGGCACTTCAGTACCACGGTGAAAGAAGTTTGTCCAGAAACTATAAAAAGTCCTGTTTTAGGTTTAAAAGGCTGGGGTTTATCCCTTGTTTCTATACAACATGCACAATGAAGGTTTTAGTAATCAGAATCCTTTTTGACAGCTAGATATGACATTAACTTTTCTAGAAGAAATATAACTTCATAACTATTTATTTCTACACATAGGAAATTACAGTGGGCTATGTAATTATTTTTCTCTGTCACAATAATGAGAAATCTCCCATCAAAAACTGAGTCACTTCATGTCAAAGTGTTTCATGATCATAGTTTTTCCTTTCTCCATTATCCGTCATCAAAATTGCCAAAACGTCTTTTATAGGATAAAGTGATTTCATTATCCTTTGCTGTATAGTTTTAAGGGCTGCAGAGAGCAACTTAAACTCCATCCTTTTTTTTCTAAAGAGCCAAATCACAGAGACACTAAAATCGTTTCTCCATTCTAAGGGCCAATATCAGTGATCTTCCTCTAGTCAGTAATCATAGTCTTGAGATTGAACCATTACTTCAAATTTGGTTATTACTGTGCCTCTTAATGGAGGTACCATAAAAACTTTTATTTAAATTGACTATCAGTGTCTACTATCTTGTCTGGCAGGCAGAGGAAAGTAGTCTCCACTGCAGACTTCTCAGGGCAGTTGCATTTATTTTTAGCAAGGAGTGCTGATGCTATTTTTTACACAGGCAAAAGTTCTCTAATGTGGCAAAGGGAGTTGAGCCACAGAGGGAGTTGAGCCACAGAGGGGGTTATGCCTCTCCAGTAAGCTAGGGCAACACAGTCTATCCCCAAACAGGCCCTCCCTTTGTAAAGAAACCATTGCTCTAGCTGCACTGCTCCTCTAGAAGTCTGTGCAGGAGCTTGATAGAGAATTTGTTGTCAATTTTTTTACATGGGCTAAAGCCACAGAAGGAGTTACAGTAACTGTGCTACCCCTCTCCAATAAGTGTGAGCAATACAGCTCTGTAGATACAGCTTACTCCAAATATAAAAAAATGCTGCTCTTACAAACAAATGCTGCCCTGTTAAAAGTCTGTGAGGAGGCTAGACAGAGTATTTGTTGTCCTCATCAAGCAGCCAACCAGACAGACCATCTGTAAAACTTGCTTCGTCAATTCGTCATTGAAATTGATTTCCTCTGTTAAAGACACGCATGATGGGACTCGATCCCCGGAGAAACCGCTCGTAATGCGTTCCATGTCTCCCATTATGTTTTCACCAAGCACTTAAGGTCCCGCCGAATCAATCACACTATCTTAAGACTCTTCCGAGCCTCCTGATCATCAAACTTAAATTGAGGAAACATCTTTGTCATATTTATCGCCGTGCTGTGCAATTTTCGGGGGAGACAAATTTACAAGTTAGCTGTAATTTGGGAGATCAGAAGACATTTGGTGCAGATGAGAATCAATAGAGCTGGGTAGAGCACGGAGAGGGAATAGTGACAGAGGAGGGATGGGGGCTGCTCAAGGCACGGCTAATGGTGGCGAGGTAAGCACTGTGCAGTTTCTGGGATCTTGATGCCATTTCTTGGATCCTGCAACTAATTCATTTTTGCTATTCCTTCTAGATATAACATTATTAGGTACGAATTCATCTGATGTTACAAGTATCCTGTTGTATAGTGAATGGAAGGCATTTCAGCACCATCAAGAAAAGGTTGTCTGTTTTAGGACCTAAGAAGACCTGTTTTCGATTTACAAGTCTTTTAGACCAGAATTTACCTTTTTTCTTCTATTCAAGATAAATGCACTATTAGTGCCTGGAGTTAAAGTAAGGTAGAAAGATTTAAGGGGCCTGCAAAATTTGTGTTTAAATCACTGATTTGATTCATGTAACTTGAAACTACATCTAGACGGTTCAACCAAGATTACTAGAACCTTATAACGATCGATAAATATTCTTGAATTGAAAGATGGGAGGAAATGAAAAAGAAAAGTTGTAACAGCCTACGTTGTAAAATACTCAAATGGCAAAGTTTGTTTAAAATTAACAGTAGTTCAGTCCTTGGGTTGTATTTCATCCTAAATCAAGGGAATTTTAAACCAGAAAGATTTTAAGAGTAAGGCGATTAACACTGACCAATGCCCCCACTTCTAAGGACTTTCAGCTGGGCTAAAAATAGGTCCAAGGTCACCCTATACTATGATAGATTTCCCTCACATAATCCATCCAAAATTACTTGCCAATGGTCAAATGCTCCTGTTAAACTAAGGTCATGTCTCAACTAAAATATTCAAGTGATCAACTGTGATGTATTGAATCCATTGATTGTTTGCCCAGATCTGATACCAGTCCCTTATGTGTATGCACCAGTAAGTATTGGACATCAGCTGAAGCCATAGTGTATAAGAAGGTCCTTTATGTAACAACCAGGGGTTTACATCCAACATTTCAGTGACCGTCTGTCACCTTCTTCAGGGCAAGAAAGACTGGATTCTTACTGCAGCTAGGTGTTGCTAGCTGTTGTCACATAATACTATTTTATACTGTAAACTACAGTAATAATCAACAACTTCAGTCACTGGTTTAGAATGCTGTCCAAGATGCAAATGAGTCTATATTGCCCCCTCTCAACACAGTTCATGACTGGAGTAGATTTTCTTATTGTAAAATCCTTGTTGTGGAATCAAGAACATTTTTATACTGTCTCTTGCCAGTCTGATGAAATTATTGATGGAAACTTCAGTATGTTTATACCATGTGTTATCCACCTGTAGTACGTGGCACCAGTGTTCGCCCCCCCTCCCCGGTCGGGTGGCTATGGAGGGCTGGACCTGTCCAGGGTCAGCGTCGCCGGCAACGGGGTCAACCAGGCACCGGTGGGGAAACCAGCCGACATCAGGGTCAGTTTTCATTATTTTTACTTAATTTGCTTATATATCAAACTTACATGATTCAAGTGATTAAAGCATTCAAAATCTTTGATCATGTAACGTTTTTAAAAAACGATAACGTGAGAAAATGCCCTTAAGTACACCTTTATGGACAAACTCTCAAATATCATGTTTTCAAGGACTTGTGAACCACATACTAAAATGATGTACAGTTACTGTATTAAATGCTATTTGCTTCAGAGAATTTTGGTCTTATAACCTCAAATTACTGTTTGTCAGCAGTCAACATGTAGTATCATCTTGTAATGAGATGGCCTATCCACCTTCATTTAGGCACATGATTGAAATGTTTGATCACATCAACTGCAAATTTTCCAGTAACTTGTAGATTCCAATGTCTTTGTTTATCTTAAGTAATTGGATTTTCTTGTTCACAAGATCTCCATCTACTAACTGACTGTGACCCTGCCCCTTCTCTGCCTCTGGACCAAGAGGTAGGGACTTCAAATCCTGGCCAAGGGGTTGCAGTCAGTGAGCCAAAACTGGATCGAGGTCTATATTCAATGAAAGGCATTTCAGCACTAATGTTGAATTTCCTAGTATACATTCAAGTCCAGTGGTTTGTGACCCTGCCTTAGGACCAAGAGGTTGGGAGTTCAACTCCCGGCCACAGTCAGTTAGCCAAAAGTAGATGAAGATCACTTTCCTCTTATTTCTGCTTGTACAGATCACTCCCACCGGCGCAGTGGGGGGAAACTTTGTGGTGGAAGCAGAGAGCCCGGGTGGCCGGAACCATCCGGTCAGCCTCCAGAAGGAGAGAACAGGATACTTAACTGGACACTTCACTCCTGAAGAGATCGGTGAGGGAAAGAATTTTTTCAGCAATATGAATATTTTTTACAAACCTTAGTCCAAATGAAAACTATTTTTTAGTCTAAATTATTCTTTTAAAGATTGTTGCAGTTTTGAAGGCATCAATGGTGGCAAGCGTCTGTGAAATACCATCCATTGTCATTTACTGGCAAAGAATTTTCCAATTGAAACTTGATGCAAGTTACTTCTAAAGACTGAGTTATTCGAAAAAGAAGAGTTAAAAGACCAATGTTGAGAACAGTCTTATGGTTGTGGCATGGTTTGGTTGAATCGTCATGTTTTAATACTCAGTCTATCAAAGATTTGGTACCACGCGTTTGGTTAAGCATGACCTTTTTTATGCCCAGTATATCAAAGATTTGACTGTTTTACCATTTTAACCAGGCCAGTACCAGGTGAGTGTGAAGTGCGACGGACGTGACGTGCCCAGCAGTCCGTTCAACTGTAACGTGTACGATCCGGACAGGGTGCGTGTCATGGGCATGAACCGGGCGCTGTTGGGTAGCCTTGCTGCTTTTGGGGGTGAGTATGGACCACAATCATCATGGTTTAAAGTCAAATTGTTAGCAAAAATGTATAATGAATGGTTGGGCTGTGTGGCAAGTGCTTGACTCGGAACCAAGAGGTTCCGGGTTCAAGTCCTGACATGCCACCAATCTCGTGTCCTTTGGAAAGACACTTAACACGACTTTCCTCATTTAACTCAAGTGAAAATGAGTATTGTCTGTCCTGTATATCTTTCTATGTGTGAGACACAACACCAGCAACAGCTGCCTTTGTCCCACGTTACTTTATTGTACTGTTTCAATTTCATTAAAATCAAATCAAATCAAATCAAATCAATGGAAGGCATTTCAGCACCATGAAGGAAAAGGTTTTTAGGATCTAAAAAGACCTGTTTTCAATTTACAAGACCAGAGCTTATCTCTTTTTAAATTAACATTTTAATGTCTGTTCACCATGAAGATTATTCACATTAGGCCATGTTGATTTGATTATATGGATGACATCCTCTGGGAATTCCAAAACCGATGCGAGCGTGCAAATAAAAAAATAGTTTTGCAAAAAAAAAGTTGCCTTCATTATGAAATCTATGTGGTCATGAAGGTTGAACAAAGGGCACAGAGTATCGTTCTACTCTTCAAATTCATTTCTTTACATTTTCGTCTTTTTTCGTTTGATTTTGGCATTCTACGACATTGGTATCGTTTTAAAATATTTTTTTTGCAACTTACGGTATAAATTTGTTCATTTTGCAACTGTTTTGTATGATTTACAGTATGGTTGAAAACTTTTTTTTTTTTGGAAACGACCGAAAATTCATGCGCGCGCGGATGTCATCCATATAATCAAATCAACATGGCCTTATTAGTGTGAAATGATTACTGATGATAATATAATATAGTATCATTATAATAGTATGTAAAACACGTCACACTGTTATGTCCTCCGCAGTCGAGACCGGCACAGCTGGCGAGGGTGACATCGATGTGACTGTTCGCGGCCCCAATGGTAGGAAATGCCCAAACAAGATCCGCCCGGAAGGCGCCGGGAACTACCGCGTCACCTACTCACCCAACGAAACCGGATGGCACGAGGTCGAGATCGAGTTCAATGGAGACGACATCCCCGGTGAGTCACTCCCTGTCCGGTTTATCGTCTGTTGTTCCCCGTCTCCCGAGGGTTAGACGTGCTTGTACTGTACATCTGGGGCTTGATGGCAGCTCGCCACTTGTCTCTGTCCTGTGGGTTGATCTTATTTTTCCTCCTAGGGCGACCACAGGGGTTTGGACCCTCCACATCCAGTGTGAGGATCTTCTTTGGCCATTTGTCCCTGTCCATTCTCTGGAGGTGGCCGTACCATCTTAGTCTGTTGTATCTAGCTGTGTCCTGGAAGTTATGAACTCCAAGCCGCATACGTAGCAAAGCTAGATATACGCAAATCATCACTAAGTCTTAACTAATGTATGGGGTGTGCACGTGCTGAATATATATGCAATACTAGGTGTTGCATATTATACGGCATATAACACATATACATCAATTTGTAACTCATAACAGCTGTTTATCAGGCAGATAATAATTAGAACATGTATTTTTACCTCCAATGTCTTCAGTCTCATATAATGGCATCAACAATGAACGTTATTGCATATTCATGCCCAACATGGGATAAATGCATCAAGTTAGATAACTAAAGTAGAAAAGTAGGAGAGTTATGCATCTGTATTCACCTACCAACAAATTCCATAAAAATGTATACTTGTCTGACTATTCTATACATTCATTCAATTTGTATCTTTGTCACCTTAATTTAATAGTTGGGCAACCTTTGGTGGTATGTCATATTACTAAAGCCAAACCAATAATATTAAACATATGAATTAAACAAATTCTGTTTCGTTCCAGGTTCCCCGTTCCGTCAGGAGGTAGTTGACTCGTGGAACGTGACAGCGGAGGGGGAGGGGCTGGGTCCCAAGGTCACGGGCAGCCAGATGCACGAGTTCTCTGTCCTCGGAACTGCAGGGGGAGAACTCATGGTCAACATACAATGTGAGTTACAGGAAACAAAAAATTACATTATGTGAAGAAAATTTTTTATGTATACTAAGGAAAGTCCTTGAAAGCATATCATTATTTTCTTTGTTTGATCCTTTTTTTATTCATAAATATGAGTAGAAAACAAAAAAATTACAGTTTAATTTTTAGACTTCCAATTAAGTTTTTATGTAAGGAAAGTCAAAGAAAGCATATCATAACTTTCTTGGTTTGATCCTATATCATGAAATTGACTAGCTGCTTTTCATTGAAGTCATGAGGGAAGAGGTCAAGATCAGACAAAATGTAACAACATATATCACGTAACCTATATATATAATTATATATGTTACGTGATTGCAAATCCTACCAAATCCATAATCATGTATCATAAGTCATACAGAGTCTACAAAATGTGTATATAGTAAAAACTATATGATACAAGATATATTCTTGGGGATGTACAACTTCTCCAAATGACATCCCCGTGTCCTAAAACCCTTGACCTCCAACCCCCTTGCCTGCCAGACATTTTTATGGGGTACATTGACCATACACGTGGCAGCCATAGCATGGTCCATTAATCTTATGTCTAGTTACCTTTTTGGCACTAAAAGTGAATGGATTTATAATGATCCATGAGTCAGTAAGGCCCAAATTAACTTCATGCTTTGGTGACATTAGCTTTCGGAGGCTAGTCTGCAAACGTTTGATGAATGCCGCACTCATACAAATACACAATATGTAATATGGAGAAATTTACCAATACTAGTAATTTCACTAGTAATACTAGTAAAGTCTCTTTAAGTGTTCAAAAGTAAACTGTCTCTTTGGAATTGAGCATTTAAGGAGTCAACTGAATGAGAGCAAATTATTGATTTTGGATGAAAAATAGCCTTCAAGTTGATAAATCAGGTTCCCATCACTGTGTTCAGCACATGATTGTTCTATAATGGCAAGGCTGTTACTAGAGTTAAGGTCTCTTTCTGGGACACCTAATTTGTACCTATTGATTTCTTTTCTGTCCGTGTCGTTTGTTCTTGTAGCGCCAAGTGGTCGACGTGTACCAGAGACTCTCGGAGCACGATATGGAGACTACCTCTGTAGCTACGTTCCGACTGAGGCTGGTGAGTTTCTCTCTTATCCTCCAAATGTTTTGAGTTTTTTTTTAAAGTTTAAACAAATTTAGGAACTTGGAGCAGATTGTGAGAAAAGTGCTTACATGTACACCATAACCTGGCTCAGCTTTTTAACCTTTGGCCTGCTATGGTAGCTGTTTGGTATCAAATTTGTATTAATTATTGGGTTGTCAATGAGATAGCAGGTAAAAGATTAATATATGATTGCTCATAGGAAGGGAGCAACAAAGAAGACAATCTTTTAAGTTTTCCTTTAATCATTGAAAGTCATTAAATTTAGAGCATCCATTAAAGTGACTTAAATATCCTCTCAACTTCTCGGTGTATGTATTGATTTCTACTCTTAATGTTGCTCATTTTGCATAGCCAACACTTGGATGTCGATTTCTGCGTGCGTGTGTGTTCCTGCATTAAAATTTGTCATGAAAGCAAAGGAAGATTAAATGTGGACCTTAGAGCCATACCTGGGAGGGAGTTGACATTGCATACAGATTACCTCTTTGAACCTGCATAAATTTTTCATTAGTCGGGATAGAAATTTGAATTATTCATCTTGACGAATAGAAGTTCTTTTATCAAGGCCAATGTCTTGTATTGTCTATGGAATTTGACTGTAATACAAGAGGCTATGATAATATTATAGATCTCCAAGCATTGACTTTTGAATGTTGCTATGAAGTTGGTACATAATAATTCAACCAATGACATAAACATAGTACCAAAAAACAGTTACTCAAGCAACTGCTATGATTTTGGAAACAGTCAGACATTTCAGGTACATGTAGCATGTAGCATACCTTTCATCAATAATTGCTTTCTGAAGTTGATGATAGGCAAAATTACTTGGTGATAGGTTTTTTCCTTAAGAATTTGGTGAATCAAGTATCATCAACATCATCATCATCAGTCGGCTGCAGAACAGTCGATCGGGTCCATTTATCAAATATGTGGTTTGAAAGAACAATCTAAATGATATCATACCTCAAATTTGGGGATCTCTTTCATGTGCTTCATATGTTTTAAACTGTCTTTTAACTTGTATTTTTGCAGGAATGCACACCATTGATGTTGCCTACAATGGTATGACCGTGCAAGGGTCACCCTTCCATGTGGAAGTGACTGACGCCAGCGCGGTGTCCCTGTTTCCCGTGGATCAGGGCATCATCGGCAGACCTGTGGACTTTGACAGTAGGTCGTCCTTTCACTGCATTCATGGCCACACAAAGTTTAGTAGTTGCTACTGTACAATACATTTAAGTTTTGCTTTTAGATAAGATTGAGTCATACTATGTGTACATTTATATGATTGTCTTGGAGAGTAGCTTTGTAACAAGGATTCCTGGGGAAGTATTGCAGCAATGGACAGAAATAAACAGAGATCAGTGGCACACAGTGCTATGGGACTGTTTAGAGCTGCCAGAGAAAGTAGGATAGCTGAGGCAAGAAACAGGGGAAAGAGAAGAAAGATACTGGCCAAATGTTCTGCTGCAGATATTGTGCCTGCTAGGCTAGTATCGACCGCACCTCAGAGAAGCCACGTGACAAGTATGACTGGGTCAGTCTATTGAAGAAGACTGAGAGTGACTTTTTGAAATGTCTAGGTGAGAACAATCTGTTGTGTTGAAACAAAAGTTTTAACTTCAAACAGACAGTGATGTAATTTCTGTTCACAGTTGACGCCTCCCGTGCGGGGAACGGCCGTATCGATGTGACTGTGATGGACGGACGCACCTCCCTTCCTGTAAACCTCTCTCCTTCTGGAGGTAACCGCTACGCCGCGTCCTTCGTACCACAGACTGCCAACCCCCACGATGTCACTGTCACTTTTGAGGGACAGAATGTGCCACGTAAGTCACGAAGCTGGTGTGTTACGCCAAAAGGAGGTTATACCAGCTATACAGATATAGATACAGAAGTTCTAATGTCTTGTCTTGGAAGCATCTAATGTCACAGTGTCTCTGCTATGTGGGAGAAGGAAAATTCTGTAAATTTGTGTGACTTGCCGAAGTGCTCAGGCCAGAAGCTGATATCTTCAAGTAGCATAGTTCCCAGTCATATCTTCTGCTGCTTGTAAGCTTAAGTATGAGATTGTATCAAAGAATTCATCTTGAGATTATATCAAACATCTTGTTTAGTGAGACAATCAAAAATGAGTGGCACAACATGGTGGCAGCAGCGGCATTCTAACCCATGCTATCGCAATGAATGGACATCTTGGAACTAATGATATCTGGCTACAATCATGTACAAAATCAGGAAGAAAGGAGTCTGCACTGCTTCTAACACACACATCATAGTCATGAAAAGAGTATGATGAATGATTGACATGTGTGCTACTGCACTGCTACTTTCTATCACACACCTGGACTGCTACCTTCTAACTGCATGGACTGCACTGCTACCTTCTAACACACACATCATAGTCATGAAAAGAGTATGCTGAATGATTGAATTATGTCTAATGTTACATCCCATAATCCCAACTCCAGGGAGCCCCTTCCGTGTGAACATCATTGACGCCAGCCGTGTCCGTGCCTCGGGAGATGGGCTTGACCGTGTTCCGATCGGCACCGGGACCGAGTTCTTTGTGGACAGTCAGGGCGGAGGGGACGCTGATGTTGCTGTTAAAGTTACTGGTCAGTTTAGATACTAGTATACAAACCATACATACAAACTATAAATAAACCACTAGTCTTGTTGGTGTGTTATTCAGTACCAGGGACAGGGCCACCAGTCTTGTCGGACTGCCATTCAGTACCAAGAACAGGGACATCAGTCTTGTTGGTGTGTCATTCAGTACCAAGGACAGGACCACCATTCTTGCTATACAATAGGGTACTAGCCTTTAGATCATGAACTATGACCAGTTTTGCTACTGACAGGCATGGCTGTTGATTAGGATCTTTTTGTCTTGTCTTGCTACTGTTAAAGTTACTAGTTTAAATTCCTTTGAGGTAAAAACCATATTATAAAAAGTATGAATTGGAATCATTGCTGTTGATGGTTCTTGTCTCCCCATGTCAAACTCCATAAAATCAATCTGGTGTAATGAAGCCACAACACCAGTCTTTCAGTACCAAGGACAGGGGCTTGTTGGTGTGTCATTCAGCACCAGGGACATGGATACCAGTCTTGTTGGCTGGTGTGTCATTCAGTACCAAGGACAGGACAAACATTCTTACTATGCATAACAGTTTTGATACTACCAGGTGTGGATGTTTAATAATAAAGAGTTTTAAGTCTTGTCTTGTTTTGAATGTCTCCTCATGTAAATTGTGATGAATGTCACCTATGGAATCCCTTTCTAGGTCCGACCGGTCGTGATGTTCCAGCTCGTGTAAGCGGTGGAAATGGACACTGGACAGTTCAGTACACACCTACTGAAGTCTGTGAGTAATGATCATCAATGATAGTTTCAATTATAGCAAAAAATTGATAGACAGCATGTAATTATTGTCTTTATGATGATAAAAAATTACATTCCCCAAGCTTAGTACTGACGGAAAAAGAAGCGATTTCTAAAAGATTGCCACATAAAACATTGTGTCCTTGAATGTGATATGAGATGATTACCTCATTTACAAATTTAGACCTTCCAAAACTTACCTTACTTTCCTTGAAAGATAAAATATGATTCAGTAAGTAATCTGGTTACTTAGAGGTACAGGAATTCCCTAGTACTGTGATTATGAACCCAGAAGTATTGTGCATCGTGTCTGTCTTCTCTGTCACGACCAGTGGAAGATTAGCCCTTCGGTGAGATTAACTTGTTCAAGATCACTTTTGCCTTAAAGTTTCTTTTGTCTGTTTGTCAGGTGATCACAACATCATGGTGACGTTTGCTGGGATGCAGATCTATGGCAGCCCTTTCCTCAGCCACTGTTACGACATCAACCAGGTCCAGGTCGGCGACATTCCCAACGGCAAGATGGGTCAGCCCGTACAGGTGGAAAGTAAGTTGTTACTTGCAATGTATTTTTACTTCATTACTTCAATTTGATTTCTTCAAATTGTTTCTAGCTGTGTTTCTAGCATTGGTTTGTCTGGAGATTGAACCCAGAAGGTTTGGGTTCTCCTGGTTCAAAATCAGACGTGAACCTTAAGGTTATTTTGGGTCTTGGACGGTTCTGAACCCAAAGATTTTCACACAGAACACCTAATGCACTTTTTGCAGCCTGAGAAAAATGGACATGTTTGCGGAACTATGTACTAGTATTTATGGTGGCAGCAGGTGCAAAAGAAGGAAAGTCTGTGAGTTATTTGGTTACAGTAATAATAAAAATTTGCGGTACAGATTTTGACCGTGAAAACCGCAAATATAAAAGTACCGCAAATATAAAGTGATTAACAATAGACTTTCTTTCCTGATACATGCACTCTAGATACATGTTGTTGATCAGATAACATTCTGTGTCATATCCAGTTGACACGAGCCGCGCAGGACACGGTGACCTTGCCGCTAACGTCAGCGTGAACTACCAGAACGTGCCCTGCGACCTTCGCTCCCGGGGTGCTGACTCCTACCTCCTGACCTTTGTACCCCAGATGACCGTGACCCATGACCTCGTGTTCAAGTTCAACGGATCCATCATCCCAGGTTAGTGAACAAGAATGCCACACCATGTTTTATACCTACAGACATGTTTTGTTTTTGTCTCAGGGACCTTTATCATTGAGCTTGATGATAAAAACAAGGGTGGATTAAAAAAGGCGAGGACCCAATCTGATGTTGCAGCGGCCTGTTTTTTTGTTGTCTGATTTCAGAATTTTTAAAGTTGGGCCCAAGGAAACACATTGTCAGTAGAAGGGATTAGATTGAAAAAAGAGTTTCGACTTTTCTTCTGCTTTTTCACAGAGGAAATTAGGGATGCAAACTACAGGTTTTTTTACGTTCTCCTTGCTGCCTGACTAATTAGAGCTGTTAGCCAAATACTTTAGTGTGCTAAAGTCTGGCATCTCCCTCCCAGGATGCCCTTACCGGTGCAAGATTGTGGACGCCAGCCAGGTGACCGCCCACGGAGATGGACTGGACCGCATTCCCGTCGACCGCCCGACAAGCTTCTTCATCGACACGAGCCGAGCGGGAGACGCCGACATCGATGTTCGAATCGCTGGTATGGCTGTCAGGTTTAGAGTTACAAAAGATATAAACACGCACTTTCCTTCAAGTGCTGTCTCAGGAAACTGGGGCAGTCGTGCAAACATGGAAACCTGCTTTGATTGCCAAAATTATTTTTTGGTAGAACAGAAAAGTAGCCCACCCCTGTAGTTTATTTCCTTGATAATTAGTTCATTAGGTTAAGTAAAATTTTAAGACTGGTAGCACTCCTTGATAGCAAAGGAGCTCCTTTTGCCTTGGTATGGCCAGGATAAGTTCTGGTCAACTAGTTATGAGCACAAGTTAGGCAGGTACAGTGTATTTGCCAAGAAAATTCTGTGGTGAAAGGATAGTCAGCACAGAAGATTCTTTAATTTGGTGAATACCAGTTTTACATTAAGAAGTTACAGTCATTCAGGATGCCATTTTTGATGTTATATAAGTAAGAACATCAAAGTATGGCATCTTGATGAGGAATGCATCTGGAACCAAGTTTTTCTATTGATTTTTCCTAGTGTCTATGATACTACACTTACTATAACATACTGCCAGGTATGAATGTATGATGAATGAATGGGTATGACAGATACAACTCCCCCCCCCCCCAAACACAACATGAAATTTAATACCTCACTTGACACACCACAAAAAGCTTCTAACTGATCGCTTGGGTGCTCACAACACATGGTGAGGGGTCTAAAATAAAGATAACATCAGAATGACATGCTGCATTGAATAATGCACAAAACATCACCAAAGTACCGCATGCCTTTGTCGGTTTGGTACACTGCAAGATCACGCTTTTTTAACCCTTGCCAACTACCACTGACTATATGGTAGCAGATGCTTTGCAGGGTTGTGAAGCTATGATTTTGTGGCATATATTTTCTTTGTTGTGTTGTGCTGTGTCGTGTTGTGTGGTGCTGTGTTGTGTTATGTTGTCTAATCATCTTGAAAATATGTTTTCTTTTCCTCTAAGGTACTGAATAATCAATTACAATCAATGAATGATTATGATAGAACAGGGTCATGAGTTATGATACAACATTATATACATATAATATGTAGCTTATGATACCATCATGCTTAACATTCTTGTCTCCTGGTGACTCTATGAAACTAAACAATGTAGTCCAGAAAAAAAAACAGACACCTTGGAGACTTTTTCAGCATTTTCTAGCTCTAGACCTTGCCGAATGGCTAAGACTCAAGCCGGCGCAGTTTGGTAAATATGCTCCTTTTTATTTCTCTTGTAGCCTTACCTCGCAGGCTCGAAGGTAGACATAAGAGAGGTGGTCAGTTTGATAACTCGGTGAGATTTGTTTTCCAGATTTCATCTCTAACCCCCTTTGTCTTTGTTTTCCAAGTAGTGAGTACAGTAATTCTACCCTCTAAATCTCGTAATGATGATGTGTTATAAGGATGCATGCTTTTTTGCAACCTATACCTTCGACCCTGGGAGGTTCTGGGGCCAAAAACTGCACAGCAGGAATGGTGTAAAATGTTTTGAACCCCACAAAAATTAACCTGCTTTTTTATTGTAAGCTTTTCATAGTTTTTGTCATGCCCAGTTCAATTGTTACACACATATAAAATCCTTTGTATTCAAACTGTTATTTGAGAAGCCTTATGCAAAAACTTCATCCTTTAAAATTATAATTGTAAGATTTTCTAAAGGGCCAAATTGGACTGATGATTCCTGCTATGCAGTACATACTCCCACAAGTGGTTCTGTGTAATTTGTAAGCACGCTGATAACTGGGATTATGCATATAATAATGAGCTGATGATGACTGGAGCTGACAATGCTTTTAATGAGCTACATGTAGAGTTTCTCAAACCACGGATAACTGCTACTGTTTCTGGTAATAGACAGAAGACTGCATCTGCACGTACATAGCATGTCCGACACCCTGCTTTTTTGCTGCATCCATTTTTGACTGACTACTAGTATTTGCCAGCTAGCTACAGTGCTTTTTTAACACATCTCAACTCGTCATTTCACCGTGCTGGCCTGCTTTGCGACCGTACTAACTGAATCTTCTGTCTCACCATTCCATGCACCACCCTATCATAAACAGGAAGGTACCATGTCATCTTATTACATTTTGGTGTCATCCTTCACATCTTAATTACAGAATGCATGAAGACTTTTTACATACTTTTTCATATCTTGCACTTGTGAAATGCACCAAAAGTTTGAACAAAGGACATTTTTCATCATTGTTTTGGATATGTTTTCACAAAATTTGCATGTACATGGACACGATTTTCCGCAACATCATCGCACTCCAAGTTGAACAACATTTCCTGGCATTGTGTAATGACAAGACAGAGCACTTTTGCACTCTTTGTAAGAGTTAGAATGAAGTGATCTATGAATAGCGGTAATGAGAAATTTTGTACAATACAGTTCTTACAATAGTGTGCCTGACAAAGGCTTAACATTTCTGGTCAAAGAACACATTGTTTGGAATGTAAACTTGGATAGTTTCATGTCAACAGAATTGACTGACCTTCACAGTTAAGCATATGCTTATGAAAGATAGCCTTGGAAAAGGATAGTTTGAGGAAACATTTAAGAACGTAATATGAGTTTTTGTAGCTATAGTGGGACAATGTTGTTGGATATGTAACCTATGACCCATGTAGGTACAGAGGCTAAGAATGTGCCTGTAAAGCTGACAGGAGGTTCTGGCAACCATGTGGCTGAGTACACACCAACACAAGTGGGTAAGTACAATATCACATGCCCTGAAGTCAAAGCAAATTAGAGGCATCCATTTGTGTGATACAAAAAGTACATACATATGGTAGCCAAAGATTACATTCAGTTCCAGTCTATATTGATATTAACCACCATGGTAAAATACCTGCTAGTACATCTCCTATGTAGAGCGTTGGCACATAATCAGGTTATACTTATATTAGGTGCAAAAAATGGCACAAAGAGAAATGTACAGAATTCAGTCAAGGCCAGATCCTTTTGCAAAGAGGACTTATTTATTTATTTCAGCTTTATTTCAACAAATGTAAAAGGTTGGAGGAAACAGGAACATACTCCTTTTTAATGCCCCCACCAATATAAACTAATAAGGATTACATAAATAATAAACAAAATAAACAATAATAACAGAAATCATAACAACACTATTTACAAGGGTGGTGACAAAGAATTAACAAATCATATAATGAACGTTGAAGTAACTTAGAAGCTACAATAGGTTTGGATACTAGGCTAAGTATATATAATAGGGCGCAATCAAAAGGAATCATTGCTTTTAACAACCACCAAGGTTTCAGCACCATGTATGTGCAAACTTACCAATGCAGTTTAGCATTGTTCTTTCCAGTTTATTTCTCTGTCATAACTAACTTGTTCCTCTAGCTGTTAAGGTTTATCTGGCAGCCTATACACCTTGCCTGCTATGGTGACAAATGGATTCTTGACTTTTTGTTTATAGGTGAACATCAGATCACAGTGACGTATGCCGGAAGGCAGATTCCCGGCAGTCCATTTTCCTCCTATGCCTACGATGTGAACCAGATCCGTGTGGGAAACATTCCCCGTGGAAGGGTGGGACATCCTGTGGAAATATTTGGTGAGTCTTACACATCACGTTGGATGAGTTCATGTATTGAAGCCATGTAGTTGATAGTACTTGCATACCACCTATAGAGTACTGCATACCATACTCCAGGGTATGCTAAAATAGTAGTTACTTGTACCTGCAAAATTGCTATAAATGTAGATTGTCTACTGAAACTTGTGTCAACCAATGTTCTGATTTAAGGAATTCTAATTAAGTTTTAATAGTTTTAAATTACCTTTCTTACAGATGCTTTAATATGCTGGTTAAGAGTATGCTGGCACATAGCTTTCACTTTGATATAGTTAGTAGGAATCATGATTGTTGATTTTTTGCTCTTACATCAAAATCTATACCCTGTGTAGAAATTTATTTCTGTTAGTGTTGTATCTAGGAAGACCTTGAACTTTGCGACTGTTCCCCTCACAGTTGATGCCACCAAGGCTGGTTCAGGTGTTCTTGAGGCAACGGTTAACTGTCCAACCGACCCAGTCAACAGTCAGATGGACAGCATTGGACAGGACCGGTTCAAACTGGTCTTTGTTCCCCGCTGCAACCACCCTCATGACATTGCCTTCAAGTTCAATGGCAATGTTGTACCTGGTAAAACCACATCTTATGACTCTCTAAATTTTTTTTGTTCCTGTTCATTATGAGCATCAAAAAGATAAATTATGGTAGAGTGATTTGGATTCATTACATGTATCTGTAAATTTTTATGATGATAGTATTAAAATTGCTGGACAAGAATGGTACTCATCATGTCAGCTATATGTGGATTCACAAGGGCAACTGTAGTCTGGGTCCTCACAGAGTACAATGGATGAACATCATCAGAATGAAACATTAAGTTATTTGCTTTGAACCAGTTATTTGTACAAAATACCCAAGTTTGTCATTTTTAGAATGCAGTACATTGTGGCCTGAAAAAGTCTATGAAACTACCTGAAATCTACCTTTATCAGTATTCACTAGAAAGGTTTATATCCTGTCATTAAAAGCTTTGCTGTGTTTCCTACCATCACACAGGGAGCCCCTACAAGTGCTACATCTCTGACGCCAGCCAGGCGCAGGCCAGGGGTGACGGACTGGACCGTGTGCCCATCAAAACTCCCTCCAGCTTCGTCATTGACACCAGTAGGGCTGGGAACGGAGATGTCGTCACCATCATTACAAGTAGGTCTCATGCTCTTAACTTACTCAAACTTTTGTATCCACGAATTTGTACACTGTGAGAACTTGCCTTTCCTCCTATAATGTACGGTGGAATACAGCCGCTGCAAAAGTTTGAATTCATGATTTACAGTAATTCAAAAGTATCTGAAAAGAATTGAAAGTCTAATGAGTTGGGGATCAAACCAAAGAAAATGTCTCTTTTTAAATTTTTTTTTAAATCTCCAGGTCCCAGTGGGAGAAACATCCCATGCAGGCTGAGTCACCAGGGAACCATGTACGATGCTGAGTATGTTCCCCTGGAAGTTGGTGAGTTCAGTGTCGTACATACATCTAAATAGGCCATTCTTTTCTTCAGGTTAAGATGAGAAGATCTGATAATGTACTCAGATTAAAAGAATTCGTCTGGTATACAAGAATGTCTTACATTCATCAAGGTAAAATACAGGTAACATGAGTGGGGCCCTATCAAATCCATAAGCATCAAACACATGTTGAAAGGCCAAAAAGCAGTTGCTCAAGCAACTGGATATGATTTTGGAAATAGAATCATATCCATGCAGTTGCTTGATTAACTGCTTTTTGGCATATCATATTTCCTGGATGTCTAATCTTCATTGACGTGCATGTTGAAGGGACTGTAAATAATGTACTATCCAACCCCCAGGTGACCACCAGATTGACATCCACTTTGACCAGCAGCCCATCCCAGGCAGCCCCTTCCACTGCCACGTGTACGATGTCAGTGCCGTCCGTATCCGGGACATTCCACAGGGCAGGGTGGGCAAAACTGTGCAGGTGGAAGGTGAGAAATAGTTTGTATTTTGGTTTGTGTGAGCCCTTTTTTATTCAAATCAAATTCAATGTGTATACTCCTAGCAATTCAGCAACAATATAGCATGTGGCCTTCAAGTACCACAGTTTAATCAACCCATGATTGAGATGTTCAAAAATTTATAATGTTGTAGCATGGAACTCCTTGCCATCAAGTACAGTAAGGCATATCCCCAGTAGATGAATTTAAACAAGGTGACTGTTGCTTGCAGTTATAGATGTGCAAAGGTTAGGTGTAGCAGGTAATTCATTGTTAGTAATATAAATGCCTGCAAATCTGGTGTGTTATGCTGAAGGAAGGCTACACAGATACAGCTACAGACCTGTACAACAGAACTTCTTTGCTTACATTAAAAATTTGTGGTTAAGTAATGAGTGAAATCCCTCCCCACAGTTGACACCAGTCTTGCCGGACGGGGCAGCCTACAGGGAGACGTGAGTGTCCTGAGAAACCCTGTGGCCAGCAAACTGTCCAGTCTGGACTCGGATCGCTACCTAATGACCTTCGTCCCTCAGTCTGTCGACCCTCACAACATCGTGTTCAAGTTTAACGGGTCGGTGGTGCCGGGGAGTCCCTTCCCATGCTACATACTGGACGCTGGCCTGGTGAGTCTCATCAACAGTAACTGCTTTAAGGGCTTGAAACTTTGAAACTTTATTAAGAATAACCATTAGCGGTGGACCCAAGAGTCCATTGCTAGTCTTCCTGGCATTCATTGACATATAAATACAATACATATACATGTACATAAAACTAACATTTTGACAACCTGTACTAGCAAACATCTAGGTGCACAACTATGAAGGTAGATCATCATATCGAATGTTAAGTTGCAGGATGTCATCACACAAATATTGGCACTGTGCTTCTTGTACATAGAAATGCAAGGAAAGTGCAGAGAGAGAGATGCCTCATTATCAGAGAGCAGTTGTATTTTGTTACAACTGTCCTGTCCTTGGTGCTGATTGGTCTTTTCTGCCGTTATTGTATAATTCAGTCTCTTCCATTTTTATTGTATGAAATAACAAATATCAAATTCTTATCAAGCTGTTTTTCTTCCCCATACACCAGGTGAGGGTGACCGGTGATGGTCTGGACAGGGTGCCAGTTAACTCCCAGACACAGGTGTTTCTGGACGCCACCAGGGCAGGGGATGCAGAGGTGGACGTCAGCGTCACAAGTAAGACAAGTTTTTCTTATGATGGCGGTGAAGAAATTTCTGTTAACTTTTTACCAATTTGGTATAAATTTAAGTGTTGCAAATTTCTTTAAATTTGTAGATCAAGAGGTCTGTAGGATTCATACATAAGCAGTATTATGTACTTTAACAGAATCTATCAGAACCATAGAGTGGAACTGCCACCAAGTACAGTAGGGGCATCATCACCTTATAGCTTTAAACAATGTTCAGCGTTAGATGTTCAAAGATTAGGTGTAACATCAGTGTAATGTAGCCAGCTGCTACTGGCTGTGTGCCTGTGTGTTAAACTGTTAGGGATGGTTATAACGGCTACATACAAGTCATGTAGATACAGAATACAGATGAAATTCAGTTTTTACGTCTTATTTTCTGTAGGTCCGTCTGGCCGTGCTATACCCACCAGAGTGTCAGGCAAGGGGAACTACACTGTGGACTACACCCCTACAGAAGTTGGTGGGTCAATTTCCTCCCTTGTGATATCTTTAAATGTTTGAGTCAGGTAAATTTGTTAGTCCTTATACGTATTGTCCTATGCTGGCATCATTCAGACAAAATATGTCTGACTCAATAATTTGTTGTAGTACTGTAGTCTGTTGGATAGTTGGAGTCTTTTTGAAAAATTTGTTGCTTTTAAGAAATTGACAAGATAACTTTCTAACACTTACATGACATTGTGTTTTTTGGTAAGTCACACCAAAGGATACTTTTTACTCTTTAAGTGCTGAGTGTTTTTGAGGGACTTGCATTAGACCAGTTAGGGTCATGTTAGGTAAAGGGTCAGATGTGTTCATTTCTAGTAAGATCAAACATGTCAATTAAAGAAAGTCTGTTCCAATATAAGTTAGTAATACTCTTTTTTTCTAGCATTCAAATGTAATGTGGAAAAGATTATTGTTGTTTCAATGATGATTTTGCCTATAATGTATCAAACAAACTTTGCTTGCCAATAGAGCTTGGGACCTGAGAACTAATGTCTGACACAACAGGCTTCCCCCAGATAAAATTCTATAGTATGAGTAATTATTCAGCCAGCTAGAACCAGTTTTTCTACTTTGCCATGCTGACAGGGCTCCTTCTGATAGGCTACTGGTGTCTTGGGGCAGATTAAAAATGCTTTGACGGTATATATACCATGGATTTCTCTTCAGATATTATAGAAAACTTAAAAATATATCAAAGATAATTCATTCATACCAGAGAGCACTGTTGTAAGATAGAAGCAGTACTTAGTATATCCACTATAATTATAGACAATTTCTTCGGTTCATTCGACTTTTGAAACCTGTCTGTCTTCTTCTCGGTTAGACAATGAGACCAATCAAATTGGATCAGGGGTGAAACTAATTAGCATACACAACCTGCCACAAAAGTTGCCTTCACCTCGAGGAGTGTGTAACCTGTCCACAAAGTTTAGGGTCTAAAAGTTGAGGGAACATCAGAAAAATTAGTGGTTAAAAGTTAGACAAAGTATCTGATTCTACAATCCTCTCAGGATGTCTTGGAAATACACGTTATCTAAAGGCAAGGACAAGCCAGGTATGCACCTGTTATAATTTACTTGTAGGATGTGATTTGAACAATCCCAGGGTCTAGTGGGACATGTGTATGCAGGTTAATCGATGTGGACAACTTATGGTAGAGATTTATATGTGTGCATGACCTGTAACATTTCTTCAGCGTGACCTAGGTCCACAGATTGGTTCACACCGTGTTCGACTGGTATTTTGGCTGTTTTCCAAGCTATGTGTCTCGTGAGAATTGCTTGATGTTTTGATCGCTGCAGGTCCGCACAAGATCGATGCGAAGTTCGGAGGGATGGAGGTGAACGGGAGTCCGTTCACGAGCTACGCCTACGATGTCAGTAAAGTGCGGGTTGGTCACGTTCCGAACGGCATTGTTGGAAGGCCATTGGACATTGACGGTAAGGAGAATAGGCTGCATACCATCAAAAACATGCTCAGACAACTATGCCAGAGGAGGGGAGGGGGCGTTGTTTTGCTTGTAGTTGCATGTTCAGGACAGAGTTGTGGGAATTAGGCTGTTGGACATTGACAGTACAGAGATTTAACTACATATTCGGGTTTTACTTTGATGCTCAGACAACTATTTTAGAGGAGGGGGAGGGGGGCATTGTTTTGATTGTAGTTGCAGCAACCACCTGTTAAGTTTTAAACCACAAGTTATGATAAATTGTATTTTGAAAGGAAGTTTCAAGATACACACCACTGAATATAACTAAAAGCAATTTGGGATCATTAAAAAAACTTAATTATGTAAACTCAATCTATTTTATGTTAGAATGTCAATTGTTGAAGTCCTCACTATTCAATCTACTAGTAGTCCTCGAGCATGCTACATTAGATGGCAGTTGTCACCAGGCATATGTGACACCTGAATGTAAACAATATCATAGCTTTGTTTAAACTTAAGCATACTAAAGACCAAATAAATATACTTGAAGACATACACAGAACCTAGTTTGGTACAGTATAGTACAAATTAAAATGGTCTTATTCAAAGGATTCATAGGATTTAGACTGAATTATTTTGTCCTTTGTTATGCCCAGAACTAACAGTAGTGCACAAATGTCTCCTAGGATTACAAAGGATGAATAGCTTATGGTTTTGAAGTTTAAAATTCTTTTCCTTTCTTCTTAAAACTGACATTTTTTTTCATTTTCCTCCCAGTTGATACTTCTCAGGCGGGGCCAGGTGAACTGGCAGCCGCTGTGACTCAGAACTACCAGCCGATCCCCTGCACACTCAAACACAAGGGCGGCGACGTCTACACCATCACCTTCATCCCACAGAACACTCAAGTGCACGACCTGCTCTTCAAGTTCAACGGGACCATTGTGCCAGGTATGGTGCTGTCTTATGACTCCTTATGTTACATAATGCATGTAGCATGTTGGCAGAACGTATTGTGAATGCGCAAAGATCCATAGCACTTGAGAATCTACAGAACGTTATATCATGTACTAAGGTTGTGCCTGGCGAGTACATGTTTAATGATGATAATAGTATCCTATCAGTAGTTCTCAATTGTTGTGTTGGAAAAGATAATGCATTGTATATATGAATAATTTGTACCTGTTTGCCATATAATGTCTACAGGAAGCCCGTTCCATGTGTACATTATTGATGCTGGGTTGGTAACAGTGAGTGGTGAAGGTCTGGACCGAGTGCCGGTGGGACGGCCGACAGACTTTCTCGTGGACACGACCCGGGCTGGGGAGTCAGGGCTGGATGTCTCCATCACAGGTGGGTTATGATAAATGTTGTTGAATGTAGAAAAACTGTTTAACCGTTGAAGGTTTGGATACAACTTTTTTGTGTATGTCACATAATTTTATATAGATTATGATGAATGTGATCATCACATGGTGCTAAAAGAGAGCTGACACCGCAACAAAATCAGACTTTCTGTTATTCAATATAGTACATAGTATGTATATGTGTAATGTTTATCTTACATAAGTAAGGTCGAATGTTAATCCTTTGATGTACGAGTAATTTGTATAAAGGAGGCAATCTTTAGTTTTCAAACTGTTCAAAGTTTAGTAGAGCCTGTGGAAGATACAGTCACAGTGACATTCAAAATCTCTTATTTGGCTAAAACTATCATAATAATGATAAATCACTTTTAATCCTATTTTCAAAAGCTGCACAACATTGAAACATTTTACTATGAGTTCCCCTAACATAAGTGTACCGTTGAATATGTTACTTAGGACCTGGTGGTCGCCGTGTGCCCTGCCGTCCATCCGGCCATGGAAACTACACCATAGAGTACACACCTGCTGATGTCGGTGAGTCAAATCACTCATTCAACATAGCTGACATTACAGTACATACAAAGTCATATAGTTTACTATAATTGTAGAATTATACTTTTAACCCAGACAGTTCTGATATTGTAAATGATGGGTATGTTTACATGATACCTTACCTGTTACCATGACAGTTCTGATCTAAATGTGGGTATCTTTACCACCTATATTACCAAGATAGTTCTGATGTTTTAATTGTGGGTATGTTTACCTTAGTTTAAATTACCTGTTACCAAGATAGTTCTGATGTTGTAAAAAAATAATACTTTTAATCTACATACAATCTTCATATTGGCTCAACTGTCTGATTAACTAGGAAGATAAAATAATGTACGTCAAGTACATGTATTTCAGTTGTTGGCACTGGTTTTGACTCCTTTGCCTTTCAACCACCTGTTTGATCAATTGTTAAACAGGTGGTCGTTTCTTTGATTTAAAAAAAATTGTCTTTTGTCATCCTGAATTTAGCTGTTGATTTCCCTTACTTTCTCCACAAGTTTTATGATTGATATATCTTCCATCTGTCATGTCACAGGTCCACACAACATTGATGTGTTCTTTGCTGGTATGGAGGTGCCGGGGTCACCCTTTACCTCCTATGCTTACGATGCTAGTCAGATCCGGGTGGGACATGTGTCTGATGGTATCATTGGCAGACCAGTCAGCATTGAAGGTAAGGCAACCATTGTATGGTAAACTTTTAAATCCTAAGTCTGTACTGCAAATTTGATCTTGATCTTGAATCTTATACCACCTAAAACAGGGCTGCTCCAGTTCAACTGTGTTTAAAAAAAATCAAATTTTTAACACTGATGTTCAAATTTCCAACAACTATTTTGTAAGTTTTGTATGTACCATCTTCACTTTCCATGCAGTTCTACACTTTTAGGATGTGCAAATTTGAAATTTTCATTGAAGATAGTTCATAAATTCATATTTGAAAATTTCATGAAAACTTTTTAATTATAATTTTTCCACAGTGGACACTTCTCAGGCTGGGTTCGGTGACCTGATGGCCAATGTCAGCACCAACTACCAGACTGTACCAAGTACACTGGAGGGGAGGTCCAGTGACGTCTGGGTCCTAACCTTCGTCCCTCAGACTATACAGACCCACGATGTGGTCTTCAAGTTCAACAACGACATTGTGCCAGGTATGACAGCATATTGTCAATTACAAATAAGCACGTTCACTTTTTGGCAGAACATAGTCTGCGCCTGTGTGAAACCTGGAATTTCACACAATTTCGTCAACGAAATGTTGCATAAAAATTATATTATTATTATTAAGAATTTTTCCCAATGTCTTTTCTGATACAACATTTGAAAAGCATAGACAGGATGTCATTTTTGAATGTGCAGATACAACTTTAAGCAAGACTTTCTGCCGAAGTGCTGTGCACAATACAGGTTTCACACAGGCACAGTATATTCTGCCAACCTGCTTTGCAAATAGTATAGTGTGTACTACTATATAACAATGATTTCTTAAAAGAGTTTATGGAACAAGAACACAAAGTTCAGCTAAGAAGAAATTAAAATGAATACAGCAGCTGACCAGACTTCATTCTGTCCATTGATAATTTGAAAACATAAATTTTTGTCCATTTCAGGGAGTCCCTTCCCGGTAAAGATGATCGATGCCAGTAGCGTGCACGCCTCGGGCGACGGTCTGGATCGCGTTCCGGTCAACCGACCCACTCACTTCAAGATCGACACTTCTCGCGCCGGAGATGCAGATATCGTTGCCCAAATCACGAGTGAGTGGGGGGAAAAACTGTGTCAATCACGGTTGCTGTATTTTTTTGCACTCTCTCAGTGTGTTGTTTTTTGGTGTACGTCGTACAGTGCATTGTGGTTGTCTGTTTTCTTGTGTACACGGAAAGCGTGCACTGGCAAGGACAGCTGGCATGTCACTGCATGGCCAACCCTCCGTCTCGTGTCATTCTGATGATGTGAGTCCGTTGTTCTGATCATATCCTGCATTTCCTATGTCACCTCTCGGAGTATGCTTTCACCGAACACTGTGGAAGCACATACTAGTTAGTGTGTGTGAGTGTGTGTGTATGTGTGTGCGTGAGAACATTAGTGAAGCAAATGAACTTTAATGTAGAAAATACATCCACAAATAAGTCTCTGACACCTGAATCATTTCAAATCTTTAGATGACAATCCTTAAGTATGTTTCCTCTTTGATACAACAACCCAAAACATTTTATTGTCTTTTTTCTTTTTTTTATGGTAATTTTTTTGGTAGGTCATTCAATGCAATTCAAACATTTTTTCAATTTTGTCATTTGTCACTAAATATGAATCATCATTGTTTTCATCATATTAATCTGACTCATTCTGTTTTCATGTTCATCATATTTCTTGTATTGCATAGCTTAAGCCATAGCTAGTAAGAGTCTTTATTTTTCAATTATAATTTCTACAGCAAAGAGCTTGAATCTGTAGATTCTGCTGTTATATTTCTTAGCCCTGAGGCCTTTAATTTGCTGCTTTTAGTTCTGTTTGCAATTAAGTAACCTACCTAGGGCAAGTTGCTTTTAACACAACAATAAAAGCAACAAAAAGACAGACTGGCTAGGCCACAGCTTACTGCTGACAGACAAAGTTCACACCTTGCTTGAGGCGTTCCGCTCTGTCCTTCGCTGTGCGCTTCCCTCCCCCACCTCCTCCTCCCCTTCCTCTCCGTAGGTCCCGGCGGACGCAAGATTCCCTGCAGCGTGTACGGAAGCAGCGGGAATTTCACCGCGGAGTACACACCTCTCGAAGCAGGTAATCAAGTGTAAATGTATTACTTGACAATGTACACTGCAATTTTACATCTTTCTGACTGTATTATGAATTGTCCTGTTCTTTTATTTATTTGACATTGCTCCTTTATGAAGATTTACCACATTTTGTGGAAAGATTGACATAACAGGTGAATGTCAACTCTTCAGAGAATCAAACCTCAGAGGCCAGACTGTAAAATGACAAACACCTTCAAGAAATATTCCAACTAAAATCAACCTTTTATAATTCTTCTTTGGCCAAATTTCTTGAAGAAGTTCAATCTACATGTGTACCTTACTGTAAAACTGTTACTGTAACTGTTACAGTAATTATATTGGGCAAAGAGTCTCATTACAAGGAAGCATATGTCTCAAACAAAATATTGACAACCAGGGAAATGTGTACTAATGCCCATAATCCATGATACTGCTGACACAACAGAAAAGAATTGCCTCACTGACTCTTCAACAATTTCTTGATCGTCAAACACATCTTTTGACAAAGTTTCTCTCCTGTGTTTCAGGTGACCATACCATCAGCGTCACCTTTGCAGGCAGGACCATATCCGGCAGTCCCTTCACCTGTAATGTGTACGATGTCAGTAAGGTCAGGGTCCTCGACATTCCCAAAGGAATTCCTGAAAAACCTGTTTACATAGATGGTGAGTAATAAGCAAATACCAGGCTACGGCATGGAATGTAAAGAATTTTATAAGGTAAATGTAGGATACAACTTACAGAATCCGATACAGAATTTGATGCAGAACACTGTTTCTGTACTGTTGTGCCATGCCATTTTCAGGTTAGATTGAAATGGAAGAGCAATTTAGCAAACTTTGTAACTTTCCCAGTATTTATGATTTACATTTCTTTTATATACAAATCATATAACACTTGTGGTATGCAGTCAATATTTTTGGTGGCAATTAATTTTCATGGTAAGAAAACTTGAGGTAATTCTAGTGTTGCAAGCTAAAGGTTTACATATACAGGTCTGACATAATCTAATTATATAATTTTCCTATTCAACATTGTATTTCTAACATTCCTGACTTTGTACTACCATTCAGTTGACACGTCAAAAGCTGGTGCGGGCGAATTGGCTGCTATTGTCACTCATGGCAAGTTCAACATTGTTCCGAGCACCCTGAGGGGCAAGGGGGACAGAAGCAAGTACACGCTGACCTTCATTCCCAAGGTCACAGAGACTCACGAGGTCATCTTCAAGTTCAATGGGCACGTTGTTCCAGGTGAGACTATTTTTTTACACTTTTACCATTCCAGGAAAATTGTTGCTACTGATTATGTTGATAATCATAATATCTCAAGGTAAAACTTCTAAATTTCCTAAGACAAAATTTGCTACTGTTGGATTTGGGATAGAAACCTCTGATCCTTGGAACATTTACTTCCTTTCTCAGGTGTAATCCAAGGTCCAAGGTCATATATATAATGTACATGAGTAGGTCATTTATTACACATTTAAGTCACGATCATTATCGATGATAGAAGTTACTGTAAGTTATGTTACACTTGGCCGAACAACTTGTTTACACACTGTAATTTTACTGCTGTCTGTATTACTGACCCTTGGTGTAACACACCAGCTTTGCAGGCTTGCGGTGCGGCGGCAGCCGCCTATGTTACTGTGACACTTTATCACATCTAGAAATCACTCATCTTTGCATTCATTCATTCATTCTACCCATTTTCTCTGCCAGGTTGCCCCCATGAAGTGAAAATGATTGATGCCAACAGAGTGACGGCTACAGGAGAGGGTCTGAGCAGCATCCCCATCAAACACCCCGCTGACATCCACATCGATGCCAACCGCACGGGAGACGCCCCTCTCTCCTGCAGTATTAAAGGTAAAAATCCTCATTGTAATTGTATATAGTATAAGGGATTCATTCCTCAAGCTAACTGACATCTCGCACGCACAGTCGTCCCTCAGTAAGACAAGTTTAGAACATTTATTCAGCCTGTCACACAACCAGTTTTGCCTCACTGTATTTGCTTAGACAAAAGTGTACAATTCAGCCGATTATTCCAGCTTTGCTGCTGGACTATAGTTTGGCGTTAAGAAACAAGAAATTAAAGATGTAAGACTTCCGAAAGTGTTTTTGGTTTTCGTCACTAGTCCTAAGCGAGCCTTTCCAGTAGTCACTGTGCATGGCAGGTGTGCTACAATAGTCAAGATTCGAACTCCCAACCTCTTGGTCCAGAGGCAGGGTTGCTAAGCACTCGACTACAGTTGCTACAACCATCATCCAGTTTGGAGATCTTCAGGTTGAATCAGAAGTTTTTTTGTTTTTTTTTTACTTTCTTTGTTTCAACTGTACTTGAGTGGAGAATCTGTGTGTATTTTCAGGACCCAGTGGAAACAATGTGCCATGTACTCTGTCTGGAAGCAAGGGATCCTACAAGGCGACATATGTCCCTGTAGAAGTTGGTAACCATGACATCAGCATCATGTATGGGAACATGCCGATCTACGGTAACCCTTTCACCAGCCGTGTGTACGATGTCGGACAGGTGACGGTAGAGAACATACCGGTGGGCAGGATTGGCAGAACTGCCGAAGTCAAAGGTCAGTAGGCTTTTTCCTTCTTGTTTTATAAGAGTTTGATAAGACATCCTTGAAGAAAACCCTGCTAGAAGAGATCATGTTATCCTGTAAAGAAGGTGGGTTCAGGTTGCTTTTGACAGCAATGTTGCAAACTGAGATATTCAATGGCTAAGGGAAATTAATCATAATTAGATTTAGAAATTTTTGAGATTTTACCATTTTGAATGTTGTATTTTAAAATGGGTAAAATCTATTCTGGACCTTTGTAAAGACTACAAAGATGCTGCAGGGTTCTCACCAGGATTTTTTCTTAGCGTAGGGGTCAGGTATAGAAGGGCAACTTTCTGCGGCGCGAGTCACGCACCGAGTCCCCAAAACATGGGCCTGATATTCTCCCCCCAAAATTTTGTAACTCATATTAACCACTTAAGACACTATTTATTGTTTATTGGGGGACAGATTTTGTTTTCCCTCTGTTATAGCTTCATTCTTAAGTTATATTTTCATTTTTTTAAAGGTTAATGAAGCTTCTGCCCCCAAAAACCACCCCTACACTGGTTGAAACACAGTGTAGGGGGCTAAATCACAGCGTAGGGGGTCAAAATCACAGCGTAGGGGGCCCCTACGCTCAAACAGCCTAGTGAGAACTATGGCATCACTTACAATTCTTATTCTACATTATGACTGACTGTTACAGCAATTGAAGCCAACTGTTGAATTGTTTTACGATTTTCTTCACAGTAAACACAGCCAAGGCGGGAGCTGGACAGATCACAGCGGACGTGATTTGTGATGACAACATCGTAGCCAGCACCGTTACCCAGAAGCCTCAGGGAAAATGGGACGTCGCGTTTGTCCCAAAGAGCTTCCAGGACCACCAGGTCATGATGAAGTTTAATGGTGCTCTCGTGCCCGGTGAGTTTGTTTTTTGAGCTGCTTTTCAAACCATTACCACTCCAGGGCTCGAAAACTGGGTGCATGTGCACCTTAGTGCACCCAAATTTGGAGCTGTGCACCCAATCTTTTTCTGTGGCTGCACCAGTGCACCCAAATATTTTTGTGGGTATTTTTGTACGTATCAAATGTATGATATTAGACAGGATATTCTTGTCATCTAAGTGTCAGAATAATAATAATCATATGTCCATGCTTTCTGTGGACACACTGTCCTTGGTGCTGAATTTAATGTGCATTGGAAAGCTGAGGCTGTTATGCTAAAACAGTAGCTTTACAGTATGTGACTCTTTCTGTGCATAAAGCATTGGTTATTTCTAACCCTCCTCCTCTATTTTCCAGGCTCCCCCCATATTTGTAAGATCCTGAATGCCAGTACAGTCACGGCTAGTGGGGATGGAGTAGACTCAAACAAAGAGCTGAGGTCAGGGGATCCCGCCAAGTTTGCCATACAGACCAACGATGCAGGGGAGGGAGAGATACTGGCTACTGTGACAGGTAAGGCACTTCTTTTGGCTGCTAAAATGTCATCAGCCTTGTACTCATTTTTCATCCAAAAAGTGGCTTCCTCTGATTATTTGAAATCAATCATTTCAAATGGCTGTTTGAAGCATATTTGCATTTTTTCCACCAACAGCTCCGAGTGGAAAAGTGTCCTCCTGTACCATACTGGGAGGTGGAAGGTCAACAACACATATGGGAGTGTACACCCCTGAAGAAGTTGGTAAGTTACTGAGTAATTAGATTTAAGAAACTTCCATTTTTTGCTTAATTTTATGAGCACTTTGGGTTCACAAAAATGTGAGTGTTGATCAATGCAAAACATAAATTTGTTTAATTATAAAATCTAGAAAGATTCAGTTGGAATAGTTTTTTTTCATTTCTTCATTTGCATCTCACCTTCCTATCTTAAACACTTCCCAACTGCTCTTCTTATGTCACCAGATTTAGATTGAGCTTCTCAATAATGACTTAAATATTTTCCTTCCCAGGGAGGTACAGAATTGATGTCAGCTATGCAGGCATGCCCATCTCTGGCAGCCCCTTTGCCAGCTACGTCTATGATATTAACAAGATCAAGGTTCAGGATGTGACTACAGGCATCATGGGGCTGCCTGTTAGCATGGGAGGTATGTAGTACAGCCGTTGTCAATAGTAACCATTGGAAAGTTGCACACTTGTTGAGGTAGTGCTATTCTAGGGTTATTCAAATGTGCCAAGAAGTTGGCATCAATTCTTTGAGATGGTGCAAAGTGATGTCACCTACTCAGAGATCATTTTCTGCTGCTATATCTAAAAATTACAATACTTGCATGTTGTAAATTTTCATTTTCATAGTTTGGTGACTTTCCTAACACTTTTGTAGCTGAAATTTGTGTTAGATGTTTAATTCTTATGATATCACATAGTCCATGTTTTCTGTATGCATGCTGTCCTTGGTGCTGAATTTGATGTGCGTTGGAAAGCTTAGGCTAATATGGCGAAACAGATTTGCTCCCCCCCCAAACAAGATAAAAATTCACACTTTCAAGACCTATTGTACCCATTTTGATAGTTTCTATCAAGCATTCTCTTTGTTTCAGGACATGGCATTGATATAAGCTCAGTATACATTTACCCTGTTGTGGTGTAGTATGTGAACAATGGATCTTATTTTCTACCTTTCAATTCCTTGAACAAAAAGTACAATGTACTTTTACTAGTTGAATGCACAGCAACAGTATTCTTTTCCATGTACCTGTGACTGTTTTTAAATCCTTGGGTTATAAAAAGTTGAATGAATTCTGTTTCTCCAGTTGATGCCACCAAAGCTGGGCGGGGTGAACTGGCAGCATCTGTCTCTGTGGACGGCTTTAAGATGGTCCCAGCTTCTCTCTTGCCTGGGAAGGAGCCAAAGAATTACATCTTAAACTTCACCCCAGAGGTGTGCAAGACTCATGAGGTCCACTTCAAGTTTAATGGGGACATTCTTCCAGGTAAAACATCTTGAACAATTAGTAATCATTAAATACTTTTTGTGATCAACTGAAAACTGCCTGAAACTTCTGACCCAACTTCTATATCTTAGTTCCTAAAAGCTGTCTTTCCTATGGAATTTAGAAAATATTGTCTTGGGAAAAAGTTTTCAAGCTGTTTAAAGATGGCTTCTTAGACTGCTAGACTAAGGAGACAGAAGAATATACTTCATGTTTGCCATAATGATTGCATTTCTTACTCTTGATATTTAGACTTCCTACATATTTAAATATGTGTTTTATGATGATTTTTGGTTGTGTTCTGTTTCAGGATGCCCATACAAAGTGCAGCTAAACGACGCCAAGCAGGTGACGGCTTTCGGGGAGGGCTTGGACCTGGTGCCAATCAACAAGCCCACTGCCATCAACGTGGACACCACCTCTGCGGGAGGGGGGCCTGTCACCTGCATGGTGAAGAGTCCCAGTGGAAAAGTCGTGCCATCCAAGATCTCAGGAACAGAACAAACCTACAGAGCCACATACACTCCTACTGAGATTGGTGAGTAAAAAATTTCACTAGAATCAGTGTAACAGGAAATTTTGCTGCTTGTTTTTTATGTATAATGGACAAGAATAGAATTTTGATTTAATGAAGTATATTAGCCAACATTACCACATAAAAAAATCATTGAATAAAGTCCAATCAATCAATCAATCAATCAATCAATCGTCCGCAGGCTTCATAAAATGCACATGCAGATAACGTTAATTGGATTAAAAGTATATCCTGCATACTTTTTTGAAGATTATTGTTTTAAACCCTGCTGACTTCTTTAATTCAATTTATCTGTTTTTCATTGTTTGGATATAGAAGTAAACTTATGTGACGTGAAGTAAACCAGAAAGATCTGTAAAGTAATTGGAAACAATTCACATCATCTTAAACCAAAAAATTAGTCTTACAGTTTGTATATGAACTTTTAAAAGTCATTGACTTGAATACTGTCCTTATTTTTGTTACAGGAAGCCACAATATACAGATAAACTTTTGGGGCATGCCCATATATGGCAGCCCCTTCACCAGCAATGCTTTTGATGCCAAGCAAGTCACAGTGGAGGAGATACCTACAGGAAGGATTGGCACTCAGACTGGAGTTGTTGGTGAGGCCTTTTCCATTGTTTTTGTCTTGAATCTCCATGTACAATGCATAGGACAATCATAAAATTTCATGTTTAGAGTTAAAGCATAAGGGATTGTTCTCACTTAGAGATTTTGACCAGTCACTCTGGTCTTCTTCAGTAGACTGACCCAGTGAGGCTTGTCACCTGGCTTGTCTAAAATGTCACATCAACTCTGGGTCTGGTAAAAAAATCTAAGTGAGAACAATCTTTTGTGTTGGAACAAAAACTTAAACTTTAAACATGTAACTGCCAACACAAATGAACTTTAATGATAGCATATAGTTGACATGTTTCTCAAGGCTGTTTTAAATTTATAGATCTAGATGTAGGATCCTATAGGTATAGGATAGATAAGTATTTACAATGTAATGAACAGTTGTTGTTGTTTCTGGCAGTTGATGCCTCCAAGGCTGGTGTAGGCACAGTGACTGCGGAGGTGTTCTGTGACAAGAAGCAGGTCCCATGCAGTGTGCAGCCCCTGAAAGACGGGAAGTCTGTCATCGCATTCATGCCGCAGAGTTTCAAGGATCACGAAGTTGACATTAAGTTCAATGGATTGGCTATACCAGGTGGGTTTGTTGCACTAGTGCATGTATATGAAATGGTGAACATTATTTACTGATGAACAATTTCTTGTATTTGTAGAGAACTTCATGTACAAATTTAGACAAAGATGCAGTTTGTCATCATCATCAAAGCCTTTTTGGATAGATGAAAGAGCTACATGTAGTTTCTTGCTTTCTAGTTTTGAATTGTAGAAAAGCACAATGTCATGTATATATGGAAGCTACATGTATTTGGCCACATACATGTATTTGTAGTCCTAGTTATTTTTTGCATTCTATAGCTAGACTGATAACATACACATAGTCTACATTGATGTACCATAAGACATAATGCTCTACATCCTTGAGGTATTGCAGAATTCCCTAATATTCCCATTGTTTTCCTGATATTTCTAGGATGCCCACATAGGTGCAAAATCCTGGGTGCAGACACAGTGAAGGCCTATGGAGAGGGGATCACTCCCAGGCCGGGGGTGCCACGGGGCCAGCCCGCCACTTTTACCATCAACATGAACGATGCAGGAAATGGAGAAATAGCCGCAACTGTCACAAGTAAGTTCAGTTCACATAAGGCAGTAGCATACTGTGGTGGGTAAGGTTGTAAAGTGTTCAATGTTTAAAAGGGAACAATTTATTTGCAAAAGCTAGTAAACTTGACATCAGGTATAACCTTCACAAGTTACAAATTGACTAAAGCCATGACGATTACCTACTATGCATTATTGATTTAATTGTATAATGATTATTTCAGATTTTGAAGTTTTAAACATGCATCGTGCTATAATATGTACTAGGCAACCAAAATTTTGCTGTGAAACTACATGTAAAGATGATGTGTTAATTTTATGTATGGGTAATACTTGTTTTGCTATAAGGATCAATTTGAAAGTGCATGTTTGCATTAGAGTACATGTACATCAAGTGTACTGATTCATCTAATGCATGCTTGATATGATATTTGTCATGGTGACCAGTGGGGGTTTGTGTCGTCTACCCTAAAAATTGCTTACATTTGTTGTGTCCGTGTGAACTAGCTTGCAGCAGTAAGAGCACATGTTATTAATAGCTGTCTTCTTGTACAATTACACTTTATGACTTGTAGTCTTTTTGACTGTTTTTTGTCACATAACCACAATATCAATTTTGTCTTGTTTTCCATGTTGTCTAGGGTGGACAGAGGGACAGAACTGATACATGTGGGGTGTTGGAATAAGTGACATCAGAAGTTCTGCACATTCTAACAGAATTTGCTCTCGCTAACCGCCTAACACCACGCTCCCTGTGCCTAACCCCCCTAACTAAAAAAAACAAACCTGCAAATGCCCTCCTCCTGCATATATGTTGCAAACTGTTGCTGCTTAGTTACTAATACATTGCTGTCATTTTACATTTACAAAGTCATGTGACTCACACCGGCCAATCAGGTTTTGTGTGGCACATTCACAGTGTTTGACGATGGTTGGTTGGTTGCCATGACAACACAATTGGTTGCTATGACAACACAAGTGTGTGGATGAGTGGGTGGAGGAATGAATGCTGGGACAGACTCACCTTTGTGGATGTTTTGTTGATGTTTTGAGGGTCTGTTTGGAATGCATTCCCACTGCATGGTTTTACTTATTGATAACATTGTGGATGCCATCGCATGAATTTGGTGTGAAGTTTTAGCATGGTTTTGGGTTTTCACAACTTTGTCATCATCATTATCTGAAATTGTCTACCCTGTGTTAATAACAATGTAATTTGTATAACCTTCATACAGACATCATGCAATCATAATCTTTCAATTATGAGAGAAATACTAGTATTTGGTCCAGCACATACTTTAGGTACTGCCTATATTCTGTGTTCAGAAAAAAAACTATGGATACCTGTTTGATCAAACAAAAAATGCTCCTTTATGTGCAAATATATAGCTAGACTACTGAGTAAAGCTGGAAATAACAGCTTATGGACTGGTCTAAATATCTCAAACTTTCTTTAGAAGAAGTTGTTTGAATTTGAAACCATATCTCTTAAAGTTCCTGTATATGATGTATAATATTTGCAATGATTTTTGACCCCCAGGCCCAAGTGGAGGTAACGTGCCATGTCGGGTGAGTGGAAGGAGTGGGACCTACACAGCTGAGTACACTCCTTACGAAGTCGGTGAGTATGTCTTGGTCTGTCATCATTCATTCTCCATTGTGATTCAAATTATCAAGTATTTCAGCAATCCAATATTGGTTAAATCATTGTAGATTTCAAAATTAGCAAAATATTCCTGATGATATTTGATTTTATAAGATTTTGCAATGAAAAATGATACTGAGAATGGAGCAACAGCTCTGTGATGAACTGAAAGAAGAAAATGTTCTTTGTCCTTGGTGCTGAAAGCTGGGTGCCTATTGGATTTCTATTATCCATTAGAAAACATTCTTCTCCTTTAACCGTAAGCATTTATCAGGACTAAAAGTGCAAAAAACTGTATTTTGTCTGACCATTACCTCTTACCTCATGACCTCAATGGATAGTGTCCTGTAGCCTGATTTGAGCTTCTTACAAATAAACAAAGGTTCAAACAAACAATGTGTCTCAGAGTACCATGCTTTGTTTAAGTGCATCTATAGGTGAGATTCAAAGAAAAGTCTGTTAATTTCTTAAGACATATTCCTTTGTTATTATCATTCATAGCAATGAACTAGCTGGTAGACTAACCTAGTGGCAGAGTGGGACGACCACACACATACTACACTTTTGTCAATGTTAGGGAAAGACACTGGTCTCACAGGGACTGATCTAGTGTCTGCCATGCGGTACAGGGTGTGTTGGAGTAACTATATCAAGTGTACCTCACCGGATAATTAATCCTGAGGCATTATTATGATGATGATTATCATTCCAGGTGACCATGACATTGTGGTGACATTTGCCGGTCAGCAGATCATGGGCAGTCCCTTCAACTGCCACGTGTACGACGCCCGTAAGGTCCGCGTGGGGGACATTCCTCTGGGGAAAGTTGGACAACCTGTCACTGTGCTCAGTAAGTGCTAGTGTTTAGAAATAAAAATGTAATGTTTAGCACAGTTGATAAGAACTTAAATTCACTTACTTACAGATGAATTTGATGATATAATCTCAAAGAATAGAATTGGTGAATTAACAGTATGTTATTTTGACTGACTACTAGTTTTGAAACTTTAAACAAGTTGCAACAATGACTTAGGGTACAGTAATATCAGATATTAGGCTTGAAAAAACTATTATAGTCACAATGACTGTTAAAAATGTAGGCTAGAAGTTGTATGTCCTTTAAAAGTTTGACTCTTACTGACACTTTAGTGAGAGACACTGCAATCGAATATGATAACTTTGAAAAATGAATGCTTGACAGGGTAATTTGGAGTGAAATATGTACTAGTTTGGTTCCTGCTGATACAAACTAATAGATGATGATGATATCTTTTAGACTAGATAAACATATGTTTACATCTGTTTGTGTCTCCCTAGTTGATACCACCCAGGCAGGAGTGGGAGACCTCCAGTGCACGGTGAGTGCGAACGGCTCCGTCCCCAGTCACCTGGACTCTCACGGCCCCTCACACAACCTGATGTTTGCCCCCCGGTCTGCACAGCCCCACGAGCTGGACGTCAAGTTTAACGGACAGACGGTGCCAGGTAGCTATTTTTACTAGCAGCCCCTATAAGTGTGTGTCTACTGAGAACTACTTGGTGCTAATCTACTATATATAACTGTCTAACTTATACTGTGTTACACCCCTGTTTTGTGGTAAGTAGGGGACAGGTTGTGCTTTGACCAACTTAACACAAGAAAAAGTTTTTGTGTAATTTTGTTAGGTCAAAGTTACATGAAAAGAATTTTCTTATCTGTATTTGAAAAGAATTCTAGTTAATGCCAAGAAATTCTGGTGTTCATGCACCATCATGATATTAACATATCATTCTATACACTGATGGGTGTATTCAGCACCCACCATGTCTAGTTTTTTAGTCACAGAATTTTTATTTTATTTTTGTTAAATGAATCCAATAATGCTGAGCAAAATTCATACTCATTATTTTTTCTATTTGGTCACTGTTTGGCCACTCAATACAATGTAGAGTAATTATTATAAAAAAGTTAGATATTTTGTAACAGTCATGATAATGAAACTGTGCCTGTTCGAGCATGGAAAGTTATCATACCTTATTCACTGTCCTTACCGCATGGACGTTATCTGATTCCCCAGGGTGATTGCATGTAGTTCTGACTGTGCTACCACTGAATGCAGCAGATGTCTAGCATGTCAAAAAGTCTGTGTCTTCTGCATGAAAACATTCAGAATCTGATCCTTTAACTCAAATCCAAACTTTTTGTTCCCTTTTTCATCTGGCTCTGATATAGAAAAAAAATCTTGTTGACAGTATTTATGCAATTTTTTATTTCACATTAAAGATGACGAGACGAGAATCATTCCACTAATTAAAGATTTTTGTTAACTGTATTTTTTTTTCAAATTGCCACTGTTTTATTGTAGCTACCGGTGCCATAATGAACATAGACTACTCCAACATTGACGAAGCACTCCCTGACATGGATGACTCTGCTTCATTGAATGGTTTCCCAGAGAACATTGGGTCCCCAAGTGTGAGGGCTCAGAGTTTGGGGGCTAGAAGTTTAGGGGGTCAGAGCCTTGGAGGTCAGAGTTTTGGGGCTAAGAGCCTTGGAGCTCAGAGTTTGGGGGCTAGAAGTTTAGGGGGTCAGAGCCTTGGAGGTCAGAGTTTGGGGCCTAGAAGCATGGGTGGTCAGAGTGTGGCAGCATCTTCCATCTCTGGGGTTGTGAAAAATGGGACACTGCCCCCAGGTAATGGGGAGTATGGCTACTATGTGTTCTACCCACTGCCTGCAAATGTGCGGCCGGGCTCGACTGTTGTTATTCCTGGCACTTTGCCCCAGAGTCAGCCTTAGATGGTTCAGAAGAAATTGGCACATTTTGAATCATTTCTGTATGGTATTTATCATGCAGTCAGAAATTTTACCATTCAATTGCAATCATATTATTTTGGTGCATTTAAGAACTCAAGACAGTCCTTTTCTGGATCTTACGTTTGTGACTTTGTATTTTTGAGACCAAAAATGACTTGTTTTAAGGTTTATGTGACACAAATTGTTGTTGTTAGTTTCAGAAAAATAGAGAAACATATCAGATTCTTAGGCATTCAAACTAACAGGGTATCAGATCTAAGAAGAGTCGTGGCTCACAAAAACAGTAATATTCCAATTAATCTGTGTGTGGTGGTGTACGTACTAAACTCATCTCAAAAGATGTACTTAATAACTGGAGTGTGTACCATATAATCAGGTGACCCCCAACTTGTGTTATCTAACTCTAACAGTAGGTGTAAGACTTAACACAATAATTTGTTTGTTTTATCTTTGATAGACATGTAATGTCTGCCTTGATTTGTATTTTAAGAGACTAATATTAATTGTTCCTAATGAATCCGCATATATATAAGTCCTAACGTGAGAAACATTGTCTTTCAAGAATGTGTGTGTGTCATTAACAATGGGAGGTCACCATTATAGCTCTCAGAGCTCATTTATGCATGCAAATCAGTAAGTATAATATTCAAAAGTATAACATGATTAACATATCTTTAATCGGAGAAGACAGAATAAAGGGTGTCTGGTGCAATGTGCTAAATTGGCTGGTGTGTTTTCCTGTGTTTTTAATCACTAACAGTCAGGGATGTCAGGAAATGATGTAGTAGAAACTACTATCTTCTATTTCAAATTTCTGCCATTGCCATCTCTTTAGACTAATAATATGTTGAATTACCCAAATGGCAGAAATTTGAACCTCACCCTATTTCGATAGCTAGATTGCCAAAATCAAAATATTTCATACACCAGAAAAAAATGAATTGCACACCCTTTATTTGCTTCATCTGATAACGATATGTTGAAAAAAACATGAGAAAGTAAAAACTTTGTGACATATTGTCTAGCTATCAACAGTGACCCTCTTTGTTCTTGACACCCCACCTAACCCTTCTTATTATTAGCTGGCAATAGCATAACAGGTTTAAGGCTGCCAGGATAACTGTAACAATATGAAGCATTTTTATTACCAATACAGAGAGAAGGATGCAAGCTTCCCTTTACCATCTATTTCTAAGTCAAATGTCCTGAGCACTGTGCCAACATCTAGCATAATTTTTGTCCAGGCCCATTCAAGTCCAGAATACGTCAGAAAAGGAAACTGTGCTCACGGTCATTCCTCTTCTAAAGACATATCGTATGATGACAGTGAATCATACTGTATAATAGTATAAAATAAACACATGAAGACACTGAAAAAAAGCTAACGCCCAGTACAAGTCACGAAATGGTGATGCTGACTGGGTGTTGCCACAAATAAGTAACAAACATTCAAAGGAAAGCTACACCCAAACAAGGCTATATGACGCAGAGTGGGTGTGGAAGCTGGACAAAACTAATAAAAGGCACCTTGAAAAATGCACTCAATATCTCAATATGATATCACAAATAGGTGTGTCAACACCTGGTTAAGGCCTTGGAGAATGAGGTACACTCCCATCTGAAAGCTTCGCTTGAATAATTTATTGATGGATTTACTCATGCACAACATGGGCCATTCAGGTAAAGGGTGTAACAACAAGGTCATCAATTATTAAGAACGATGAAAAATTCCCATTGTTTGCAGGCAATAATGTGATAACGTATAATAGACATAGGGATTGCCTCTCAATAAAATTCCCATGAGAGTTAGGTGGTGTGGAGAAAGGGCTGTACTGTATATCAAGAAATTTTTGCATCAAAGTTTTGTTTCCCAACTCCTAAACAAAATTAAATTTTACATTTGACCCGTACATGAAAACTCTTTTCATGTTGCACTGAATGAAGTACTAGTAAATATTTTTTAAAAAACTAAGTAACACACTAAAATAATCGTGTTCCTAAAAACAATATAACATACAGTACAGACAAATTTTTAATTTGAATAATGGTTTTAAGGTGGGGCACTTAAGAGTAGTTTGACCTCTAACGTTAGAGGTCAAAAAAATTCACAGAAATCATCATGCAAGGATCAGGAATGTTACAAGTTACATTCCACATCGATGAAGATAGCGCTAATTTTACAAGGATTTGAAAATATAGTATTCAGAGTATTAACCTGTCGCTAAATTGTCATCTGCAACATATGACCTTGATCGGCTGAGTCATCGTGTTTGGAATAACACGGGGCTGTGAGGTCTTATATTCCCCGAATCTCCATCATGCTGCAACAGGGAGAGGAATATTTTCGAGGGTTCAACTTTGTGACTGACAGAGCAGGGGCACCGACAAAAGGATGGGTTTTACCTGACCAAGAACCTTCTGATCACACAACCCAACAGGTGGAAAATGAGGACATGTCGCCATTTCTTATTCATGAAAATGGAGCTTCTGAACAACAAAACCAACAAGCGGAAACTGGTGTATTGCCACAGCCACCATTACTTACGTACCAGAATGGACCTTCTGAACTAGTAAACCAACAGGTAGAGACTGGTTTGACTCCACAGCTGCCATTCTTTATGTACCAAAATGGATTTCCTGAGCAGGGAAGCCGACAGTTGGGAAATGGTGTGCCGCCGCAGCTACCGATTTTTCTGCATCAAAATGGCGCCCTCCCAATGGGACTTCCTTCACAGCCTATAATTTTCTTGGGACGACGCCCACATAGTTTTAGGTCGCGGCATAAAAAAGTCAGTAAAACCGAACAACAACCAGTTCAGGATGAACAGAAAACAGAAATTGATGCTTCAGAAGAAGTAGAGGAGGCAGAGGAAATTGGTGAAGATGTTGATGATGTTAGCACGTCTGATTCTGGAAAATTGGAGAATGTAGAATGGAAGACAATCGCGACTCCTCAACCATTGCCTGATATTCAGTGGGAACTGGTCAGTGGAGAAGTTGAGTCAGATAATGTACAATCTAGTATTCCTAATGGAGAAACAGAAAGAATTGATCGCAGCGAACAGTTGTTACAGGATAATTTTCATAAAGAAGATAAGACGGGTCAAACAACTACCGACAAGGAACTACAAACGGAATCAGAAGGTAGTACAAGGTTCAAGTGTTTGCTATTACAAGAGCTATGGAAGCTAAATAACAATATGCATGTTGAATGTTCATGTCACAGTTTCACAGAGCCCTCTTGCTCACTAACAGAGAACTACAGATCAATTAATGATTCAAAATCAGGTTCAATAGAAAGATCTTTATTATATGTTTGGAAAATTATCCTTTTGAAAAGGCTCAGGTATCTGTGGGAATGATATGGGAATCATCATCAAAACAATTTAGCCCTACATCCCGGTTTGCAGCTAAAGTATAACACCTGTTTCTAGAAAATTTTTTATTGAATATATTAGACAAATTGAAAGGGAATTAAGCCTCAGAATAGGTCATCTTTATACACTCTGTCCATGCAGCACAGTATTTTTCCCAACAGGATTCCACAAGGACTGCAGTTAACTGGCTGAAGACCAAGGAGATTCAAAAATTAATGTTAGTTGCCTGTTCCTCTAAGCACACCCCTCCCCTCTCCTTTCCACTGTAGGAAGCCCCGATCACAAGGTGCAATCACAGTGTTGGGGAACGGCCTGGGACGTGTGCCTGCCAACTTCACCGTCAATGCAACTAGGGAAGGAGACTTTATAGTTTCCTGGCTTCTTTAAGAACCCCCTCCCTTTTGCTTCCGCTGTAGGAAGCCCCTTCATTTGCCATGTGGTGGACCAAGGCGCGATCACAGTGTTAGGGGACGGCCTGGGACGTACATGCATGCCTGCCAACTTTACCATGGATGCCACTAGGGCAGGAGACAAATATTGATCTTCATAGTTTCCTGGCTTCTTTAAGAACCCCCCCTCTTTCTCCCACTGTAGGAAGCCCCTTCACCTGCCATGTGGTGGATCAGGGCGCGATCACAGTGTTGGGGGACGGCCTGGGACGGGTGCCTGTCGACAAGCCGGCCAACTTTACCGTGGATGCCACTAGGGCAGGAGACGCTGAACTCAAGGTCGACGTCTTAGGTGAGGAGAGCTTCCATTTTGTTTGTTTTTTTAATCTTTAGCATTGTGAATAACCTTGATTCCTTGCATTCCTATAGTAAAAAATATTGCTTGTATTCAAGATTTTCAGTATGACTAGCAAGCATAGATGGGCATTATTGAAAACTTTTTTTTCTGCATAACCAATCTATAACATAATGACCTTGGTACTGTATATAGAACAGGCTATCAAAAACCCTTACCCAGTAAAATTGAACAAAATGGTCCGTCATATTGAGCTGTATTGAAAATCGAAGATTCCATTCTACAGGGAAGGTTTTCCAACAATGTCACATCATCTGAAGGCATACTTATACATGTACTGCAGAAGATTCCTATAGCCTAATGAATTGTTACTAATTTATTGTGTTGGTGTGTATGTTTATCATGTTGATATTTCCTTGATCAGGCCCCAGTCGCAGACGTGTGCCATGTCAGGTCAGTGGCAGAGGCAATTACAACGTGGAGTACGTGCCAACAGAAGTTGGTGAGTATAAGATTGTGCAAAAGTTGTACCCTAACTTACAAAGTCATATAGGAAATGTATTCTTATTAACTAAAGATATCTTTTTAAAAAATCATGAACACTATATAAAGTTTGACATGTTTGTTGAGCTATTACAGTGCTCACCAACTATTTGCATCACTGACATTGGCATAAACCTGGGAACTGCATAGAATTCTGAAAACCCAAACCATTTCCCATTCACTACATTATAAATTGCATGGCATAATTGCATGAGCTGTTATGACTTTCACCTGATATTGGACTAAAATATTTCCAAGTCAATGGCACACTGACCCAGAAAATTATACGTGAAAGAAATGCATGTAGTTGTTACTGTTCAATTGTTGCACGTCAGCAAATCGGCATAAAGTGCATTGTTATTCATTCATTATCACCCCTACACCCTCCATTGTCATACACTTTCTCTGTTCTGGCCAGGTGAGAACCCCCAATCACTCCGTGATGATTGTGTGAAAAGAAGTCCTTTGTTGCTTTTTGGTGTCATTGATTGGACTGTTGTTTTAGCTTTGGCAAGTTTTTTGCCCAACATTGGCAATTGATGTAACTTTGGTTTGGACATTTAGCCCTGTTCATTGAGAGTTTCTAAATGGGACTAGAACTTAGAAGATTGTGGGTATAAATACCAATAGCATCATGTTTGTGATTGTTTTAATTAGCCCCAGCCCAGTGTCATCCGTAACCAACTGACCTGCCCTCCCTGCCGATCATGTGGACTCTCCTAAGGTTATTGGACTAACCCTGTTATAGGGGTAAAATTCCCTGACAAATCATTCATGCAAATAACAGGAGAGCACTGTACTACAATTCATGTTAAACTTAATTTGTGGGACAAAGATATTGTTATGTCAATCTTTTAAAAGATTCTCCACTCAGTTGATACAATATGTATGTGTTTGATGCCTTGATAACATGTTGCAGTAGCTTAACAGTAATGCTCGGCTAACCTGAATACATTTTTTTCTGCTTTAGGCCCTCACACGATTGACGTGGCCTTTGCCGGGGATTTCATCCCAGGGAGCCCCTTTGGTTCCTATGCTTACGACGCCAACAGAGTCAAAGTGTTGGACATTCCCAACGGCAGGGTGGGAGAAGAGGTTCCTTTCCAGGGTGAGTATGTATCGGTCAATCGATTGATCAATCAATCAATCTATCAATCTATCAATCTATCGCAACAATATCATTAATTCCTAACATTCATTGATCAAACTGTATCTTTCTAAGTTCCTTTTTTCTTCACCGTTAAAACCTTTCCAAGGTGCTGAAAGTTATGCTGCTGTAACAACATTACTTCCCTTATGAAGTTTGGGTACTCAAGATCCACACAGCAAAGACAGCTTATTTGATGTTTATTGTATTATATTTGATGTTTAATGTACAATATTTGATGTTAATGATGTTCATTATTGCAATTTGTTTTGTATTAAATGATGTAATCTGTATTTATATTCTGTATGTTGTGTTTGGGAGGACAACTTGTAAAGGTGTCAATGCACCTGTTTTGTTCTCCCTTTCACTTGTATATCTGGTAGTAAATTCAAATAAACAAATAAACAAACAAATCACTTTTGTTTCCTGTTCTCCCCACAGTTGACTGTACCCAGGCAGGAGAGGGTGAGCTGGCCATCCTGGTCACCTCCGGTGGCCGTGCCGTGCCCAGCACCATCAGCCCCGGTTACGGCAACGGCATCTACACCGGATCCTTCGTACCACGCGACATCAACACTCACGAGATCAATGTCAAGTTCAGTGGGCACACTGTATCAGGTAAGGACTAATGGAATGCACAGTATACACTGTAAAAATCAATACAGTGAAAGCTATTTAGCCAAACTTCTATGGGGACATCAACAATTTTGAGAACAGTGTGGCCATTCATAGGTCTTAATGAGTTTGCAAGTACTTATAAATTCTTCAATCTACTTGGTAGAGGACACTAGAACAATAAGGTAGAGAGAATGCTATGAGCAAGTTTTACAGTTTTGGTTCCTCAATGGTAGTAAGAGAGTGGTCAGGACAAAGACGGTATTGAAACACAGCCTAGCAAATGAGATGGACAATTAAATTGTTACTTAAGTGCACACATTTTTGAAACATCTCACTGTTTGCAAAACCTATCCAGTTGCTTCGGTAACAATTTCCTTGACAAATGTGTATATCTATGTGTATATCTATGTTGTCTGCTGTTTTCCAGGGAGCCCAGCTCATCCCTGTTGTTGATTTTCTTATTCAATTCAGTTTGCATTATCCAACCGATATGTTGGTTTTCCTTTCTGTCTAGCCCTCTCCAAAATTTATCCAGTAGTAGAGTTTGAATTGCCTAATATGAGAGCCTTGTTTGCTGTTTTTCCAGGGAGTCCGTTCCACTGCCACATCCTGGATGCCACCCAGGTGACGGCATCAGGAGACGGGCTGGACCGTGTTCCCATCAACCAGCGGACCTGGGTCAACATCGACACCCGTGCTGCCGGGGACGGGGACGTCAACGTCACCGCTACCTGTACGTTTTTATTATAGCGTCCCTTTCAAAGGTCTTCCGGTTTTAGAAATGTTTTACAATTGCAATAACTCAGTCACTCATTCACTCTGTCCCATAGCTCCAGTCCATAGGGGTATCTGTATGTTTTACTATTATAATAACATCCCTCGCAAAGGGTTTTCTGGTTTGTGGGAAACGATGCATGAAAGACTGGATACAGCTTTTGACACATTTTTTCTCCATGGTTCTCATGTAATTTGGCATGTCTGGGGACTCCAAGATCTCTAAATTTCAAAATTATGTAGCTTCTTGACTTTTAGGTATGGTTAGTGTAGTTTTAAATTTTCTGCATTTTTAGACATCAGAGTAGACTGTGGGCAGTTTTTCCTTCTGCTAGCTTATATACTTGACTTGACTTGATACAGTGGGTCGTAATAACACAGCAACAACTAGTGGGTATCAACAAGTTCCATATCTTTTTGGAGTAACCAGCTTCAACAATAAGACGCATTCAAATATCCTAAGGGTTATAGATTAAGGGTAATTTTCTGCAATGTGTATATCAATTTTCTCTGTCACTTTTGCACCCTCGACCCATTTTTTTCTGAAATGATAAAGACTTGGTTAATAGCAAACATGGCAATGAAAAGCACAGTAAGGTAAGTCCTAAGTCACAGGTGAGTTTAGTAGGGTGCTGTTTTTTTGGACATGTACACTTCACATCTTGCACTCACTCTATGAACAAATACTGTTAGTTTGGCCACACAAAGTTGTCATTCTGATGTTATCATTTTGGTCCACTTACTAGGTTGTTCAAGTTTGTAGGACCCTCTTTCCTGTGTGTGGGACAATTCATAAATTCCAACAAGTGTATGCCTGAATGAATGATGTGTGAATGAATGGTGAAGAAATAATGGACAGATCTCGAAAGTAGATACAATGTAGTGTAGGAACAAAACACAATTATTTATTAGTTCTACAAGCTAGTGTTAAACCCAATAGTTTCTAACACTGTATGGTGTTAGTGAGAGTAGAAGTGATTCTAATTCTTAAGTGTCAAGTACAAGTCCGTTAAATTTGCCAAAATGTGATTGTTCATTAGAATTACATTACTCAGGGGAAAAGTACTGCCTCCAATATTACATAATTGTTATATTTCAAATATTTCAAGCTGTGTTTCTCCTGTTGCAGCCCCCAGCAGCCTGTCTGTGCCTGTTGTTGTGAGGAGGGAGGGACAGGGCATGTGGAGGGCAGAGTACACCCCCACAGAAGTCGGTATGTGCCATCCATATTCAATCTGTATGTCAGATGATTTTAAGATGTTTGGAGTTACACCCCCTCTCTATTAAGGCTAGGCAATACTACAGTATGCAATACCATTGTTCTTTGTTATAACATACTAAAATGTTTTAACCTACTGTTACCTTCAAACTGTCTTTCATCCCTTTCAAATTCCTTAAGCAAGTATATACCACCCCTCTCTGATTTTTTGGCATGTGTAGTTACTGTAGGTAAGGAAGCTTGTGGCATAATTGTTCTGTTTTTTCTTGTTTTGCTGAATAAAAAATTTTTGATCCCCACCTAGGTGAACACACCCTGGACATCACATTTGTGGGTATGCCCATATATGGCTCCCCCTTCACGGCCTATGCCTATGACGTCAGTAAGGTTCGTGTGAGGCCAGACCCAGTGGGACCTGGTCAGATCGGCAAGACTGAGAACTTCACAGGTGAGAAAAACTTCTTCAAATATCTATGTCTTAAGAAGAAAGCTCGGATTGATACTATAGGTGTTTGAGAATGTTCAAGACCATGTAGATAAAATAATGGGCATTTTATGGCAATATGTAATTCTGTACTAATCTAGAATGATGTGACAAATTGATTACATGTGAGCTGTATCAAAATCAGTTTGTGGTTATATCTTGATATTGCTACATTGTACAGTAGATACAAGAATATATTTCTTTGGCAGGTTTGACCTGAACCGTTTTGAAAAAAAATGCAGATGCATATAAGAAATACTAGATAATACATTCTCATTTGGACAAATGTTGTTACCGGCAGATGATATATTGTATGTGACAAACTTAAAACAAAATTATTTTAATTGTTTCTACCTACAAAATTCAGCTATGCTTAGATACATGTAACTTAATTACAATTTCTGTATGTTGTTATGTTCATAGTTGATGCGAGCCAGGCTGGGACAGGCCACATCGATGTCAGCGTCTCCTGTGAGCGCCGGAACGTGCCAATCTCTGTCCAGACGAAGGGTCACGGCATCTTCGACTGCTCCTTCGTACCACGAGACCTGCCTGACCACCTCATAGTGGTCAAGTTTAACGGACAGATCATTCCCAGTAAGTAATATTCATTCACATCAAACTGTATCTTCCATTTTTTTATTATTAAGTCCATCTGTTAAAACATCTCCAAGGTGCTGAAAGTTGAGCTGTTGCCAAAACAGTACTTCCCAGTAATCTAATGATGTGAATTGTCCATTGAGATACTTGTGGGTACCTGACCTTCATTGGGGAGGTAAAGGTAGTTGAAGGAGAGGGATGGGCTCTGCGTTTTAATCCTGTGCCCTGCGTTTTAATCCTGTGCCCTGCGTTTTAATCCTGTGCCCTGCGTTTTAATCCTGTGCCCTAGACACAGTGGATTAACAATTGGTCCTTTAGTCTCAAAAAGGCTATGGGACTACCTTTACCTTTTTACTGTGTTGCTGTATTACTGTATCACATCAAGAACTGGACGTCCCTCACCATCATCGGTCATGGGACTAAGTGTAGGTGTGTATTACAGTAACATTACTTACATGACTTTTGTTACTTTTGTTATAGACTGCCCGATGGTGTGTGAGATCCTGGACGCTGGCCGAGTTACCGGGAGCGGGCCTGGGTTGGGAGTCATCCCGATTAACCGCCTGACCAGCTTCAGTGTGCGGGATGCACACAAGGGGGACATCAGTGTTAACATCCAGTGTAAGTTGCACACACACATGGGCGACTCTCAACATTTGAAATTTTTGTTGTATTATTCTGTTGAAGGTTACTACAAGGAGTGGGAATATATCAGATATTGCAGATATAGCCTTATCTGATGTTGAATTTCAAACAAAATTGCAAAATGTGGCTTCTTTTTAATATCAGAAAAGACTATACATTACCTTCAAAATTTGAACCTACTGCCAAAACTCAAAATTTTTGGCAAGAGGAGTTGTTACACCAACAAGTTACATGATATGAAAATTCTTTGTAAACTAATTGTGATTATCTTTTCTAAAAATGAATTAAGTATAGCCACTACCAAATTAGAAAGCCATGAAGGCTCACCTCCAGTTGCAGTACAGTTTTTTCATACAACTGAAATGGGACTTGTTTTGTTACAGATGTTGTACAGTCATGTTATACTCGTCTGCATTCTCGCTTGAATTGTGGCATTGATCTATAAGCATATGCTCTGGGATATTGTTCAATATTTGCGTGTTGCTTTGAGTACATGTGCTAACAGCTGCTTTGCATGGAAGCCAATATCATTGATACTAACTGAAACATAACATGATGACTGCAAGAGTACAGAATGCTCAGCACACACAGACACAGCCACTGCAATGCAGCATGTCAGAAACAGTATGAAAGGGTCGTTGTGTTTCCAAACTGAATGAAAGTTCTACTAAGAAAATATGATACCTCATTTCCACATGCATTCCTCTTAAGTAGATGTTTTGTTACTGTAGTGTCCATCCCCTTGCTTTATCTAATTTCAACATAGTGAATTTCAAGACCTTTTTTCAAGATCTTAAGTTGCCCCCTTTGATTTTATGCTTTAAGTTTGTTACTAATGTTGATGTCATGTGGCAATTCTTTGCATGACCCTTACACAAAGTTAATGCTTGTGTTAAAGAGGTTTTTTTACGATTGCAACACATCCAAGAAACTGTGTCTTACACCGTGCAATTTGGATTCTACAATTTTGAAGGAACAACTAACTCATCCAGCAACTCAATATAGAATCTGTAACTAGTGGACCATCTGAGCCTTCATTTGTATTAACCGACTCACAAAGAAACAGCCATCAGGAAGCTGATTTTGTAGTTCAAATCATCAGATGATTTTTCGCAGCGCGTCTCCAGCACTGGTAAGTTTTCAAAGAGTAATGTCAAGTAATGCACAATTTGTCTTGCACTGCTTACAAACAGCTAATTTACACCAAAGAACTTCCTAATAACTTAACCTTAGAAATGGTGTACTTACAATATAACTGTAACAACAATTTTCCCTGTAACATGTACATTTCAATGTAATAACTCTTGTAACTTTCATCTGCGAGAATGATTTAGTAACAGTGCATATAGTTTGCATGAGAACATATAACTATAACATTAGTACATCTTTTTGCATGTGCATTTATAAAACTGTATTTGGGTATCTAAGGTGCACATATTGAAAAAGGATTTTATTTGAGGATCTTTTCTTACTTTGATACTTGTGTGTTTTCCTAAGCTCCCAGTGGTAGACAGGTTCCAGTTGAGGTGATGGGCCCAGACAGCCATGGTCACCTGTACGTCACATGGAAACCTACAGAGAGTGGTGAGACTTTTTTTATTATGATGCTTTGTGAGACAACTTTTGCCTTTGCAACTATATTATTACAAAGGCATAGCCTTTTATATTATGGTACTGTATAAATGTTAGCTCAGGCTCTAGAAAAAACTTTCTGCTGAATCAAAAAACAAGACAGTATTTGCTCCCAAAATCATGCAAGATTTCCTGATCAGACTCTGCATGAATACCCTAAAATTCGTGCCAAAGTTTGTGTTTTACAATTGATTAAATGTAACATGATATCAAGAAAGGTATTAAGGTTAAGATACCATTAATCAATCACAAACAAGGACTCATTACATATTTGTTGATTTGATTACTATCTGTCCAATCAGGTTTCCACACAGTCGAGGTGCGTTTGGGCGAGGACCACATCCAGGGCAGCCCTTTTACTGTCAGGGTCTTCGATGCACAGAAGGTCAAAGTTCACAGCTTGGAGGGTGGACTTGTGGGACAGCCTCATTCATTCATAGGTAAGTCTGATTTTTGTCAGTGCTCTGGTTGTTGGACTGTGTGGTGAATAAATGTACCTAGGACACTTGACAGAATGCAGCATAACTGGATGACTACGTTTTCAGTACCAAGGACAGATTCCGCAAGGTTTAACATGAAAAATTTATATCCTTTCTAGCACAAAGCCCATCTTTGAACCCTGTTACCAATGCCGCTACTGAATATCCACAACATCTTAAACACCCTTGAATACTGCCCAGAGTACAATATCTACGTCACCTGACAACATTTTTATGAAGTAATGAAAGATTATTGCAATCAGACGCCTTTTACAGAAACCCCTTCTTCCACAACACTTACAATTTACTGTGCAGCTAGTTTATCTCTATGGTTATTTGTATGTCCTTTTTGTGTATATATTTAAGCCTGTTTTATGTTAGTGTGTATTGTTTTTATGGGTTCTTATACCTGAAATAATGAATGAATGAATGAATATGCTATTTTCCTACCGTTTTATTCCCCAGTTGACACGTCAGAAGCGGGCCCGGGACACATCCGTGTGGTGATCCACGCAGGTCGGACGGAGGTGCCGCACCAGATCCAGGAGCTGGGGGGAGGGCGGTACAAGGTCACCTACACGCCCCAGGAGAACGTGGATCACATGATCATGGTGGAGTGGAACCAAGTCGCCATTCCAGGTACAATATACTAGGTCATCCCAGATTACTTTTACTCTTTTTCTCTTACTCTAAAGTTTTAGCCTCCTGTGTAGACTTTTTGTTTTATGGGGGTTTTCATTCCAGGTACAATCCAGGTCTTCTTAGCCTGGCCCACAATAGATTAATCTCCAAGCAGATTCTGTGGGGCAACTCTAACCATTGGCTTCCTGTTATGGTTACAGGTGGCCCATATACTAGTAGATTCTACTTACCCCACAGAATCTGCTTGGATATTAGCGCTACCAGTGGATTATTTTATTGGTTCTCTGAAGTTTTAGTGTCCTGTGCAGACTCTTTGTTTCTTACGAGACACAGAGATACCACTACTAGTGTTTAGTAAACTTAGTGCTGAAGGTAAATGTCAAGTAGCTTCCAGCTGATTCTTACTCACTTGAACATTGAGAAAAATGAGAACTTGTCCATTGTCTGATTTCACCTGAAGTTTGTCCCTTTTTCTCCAGCCCCCTCTGGTGTGGAGTCCCGCGGTGACCAGTTTGTTGTCCCGGTGGCAGACGTGGGTCTGATCCAGGCATCAGGGGTCGGGCTGATTGGCTCCATCCCCGTCAACAGCCTGGCGCAGTTCCGCGTTCTCACACACGGACAGACAGGAGGAGAGCCCAGCATCATCATCACAGGTAAGGGTTTCACTAGCCTGTGTCAACTGCCCTGGTTAGTTTACATCTGCTCTGACTTGAAGTATTACCCTGGGAGCTACATTGTAGACTGGATATCGTGCCTGTTCCTTCACTTCAGCCAACACTGCCTTCCTTTCCCTGGTGGTGGACTGATACCCTTTGGCCATCTGTCTAAATGTGTGCCAAAAACACACCACGGATCTGGTGTGCCATATTTGCCACCAAGAGCCATAAAAATTCTTCCTTCAGTGTACGAAGGCATCAATAAGTCTGCCGATCTTAACTAGTGCTACAGGGGAGTTGTAGCCCGAGGACCAGCCAACTCACCAACTCTCTCGGGTTACAGCTCCCCTGTAGTGCTAATTTAGACTACTGCCTTGGCCCACCCAAGGAACTGGCTGATGGCCCAATATCTAGTCTGGACCAGAAACAACCAGTAACTATCAGAGCAGACATAAGCTAACCAGGAGGTTACTCAGGTACATTGTAACAGGCTTGATCTTTGCAGAACTTTGGTGGGTGAAACTTGCCTTTTCTGTCTCATAGCTGATCAAACTATTGAGTTTTTGACCTATAATCCCTTCATGGTGTGGCTGGCACTAATCTACATTTAAGCCTTAACACAGGTGTTGGTGTGAACTTTCTTCTTTTCTTTTCTTTTCATTTCATTTCTGCACTGCATTTGAGTAATGTTTTGCTACAAGATTAGATAATGTTTAACGGTTTTAGAGGGAAATAAGAAATGAAAAAGGGAGGATCAAGGTTTTGGTGAACACAAAATTTGACTCAATATGGAAAATATAGAGCAAATGGTTTATTTCCACATATACCCAGGCAAATTGAATTAAATTTTGGTTGTTAAAGTAACAGTTGCTATCCTTTCATTGCATTGGCATTTTGCCAGATTTTGCACAGTTGTTTTCCAAGATTTGGTTTGACCACATTTAGTTACAAGAAAACTGCAATCTATGATATTTTAGTAACAGTCACAGAGCATTTAGTCAGCTTACAAAACTTTTATGGCTTTGAAGACACTTAAAAGCATACTGGAATGTACACGACCACAGAACATCTATATTAGTGAAACACTAAAAGAAGATTTACACAGTATCATCACGGGCCAGTGGTGTATCCAAATGTTCATTTGAAAGATGTCTAGTACATGTACTAATTTCACATCTGTATTTATGAAGTCTGTGTTTGAGATGAATAGAAGTATGAAGTATGAAGTCCAAAATGTCTCCCTCAGTTATATTGATTTTGATATTTCATTCTTCAATGATAAAGATTAGTAAGCAGAATAATGAAATATCACGAAGGCTTAGGTGGTATGAACTGTGGTTGCATGTCCAAAGTTTCCCTTTTCATCAAATGTATGAACAAGAATTGCTGTATAAACATATTTTTTTTAAATTGGAAAATTATCTATGAAAAATCAAATGCAAAAGTCTGCTAAACTTGAATTGAAAGTAATGTGTCACCAAGTGTTAAAAGACGAAATTTGAATTCTAGAAAGAAAAAAGTTATGTTTGCAGTACTGTCACTGTTGTTTTGCTTCTGCTGCCGGCTTTTAACACGTTTTTATTTTCTTTGTTCACATGCAGCCACGAATTTGACGAGCCCCGTCACCTCCATCCATACCCTCCCCCACATGACGCCACGTCATTTCATTTTGTACATCGTGTCGTGAATAAAACTGTGTGGTTGTGATGCACCCTGTCTCTGTCCTCTTTGATATTTCAACCCTCAGGGCCAGGCACTTTTTCGAGTGTTTCGGCTTCCATGCATGTTTCACAATTTCACCGAAATAAAAAGCAAATACCTGAGACAATCAGGGACATTTTGACCACAATATTCCACTCCCAAAGGTTTGCAACCAATGTTTCAATCAAAAATTACTTCATTAATCTTTGTGGATAATTCTAGGGAATTGTAAACATGCATGCAGCCGAGTGTAACTAAATGTACCAAAGCAACTTGGCCTTGGAATTTCAATAATGCACCAACCCTATCTTGAAATAAGGATTCAGATTATCATGTGTTGTAGTCTGATGAACGTGACTACAGTATGCATGATTGGTAATAAAGCTCACAGTTGCTTGAATGTATATTTTACATATTACACACTATGATTGTATGACATTAACATTTTTTTCAATACTTCAATAAAACTTGTTCCATCATGATGATATGAATGAAAGAAATATTGATTATTATCATGCTGTTTATGCATTAAATGTCTAAAGTTTTGTGCAATAAAAATGTGCTTTTATCAAGTTTGTTCAGACTGTAAGGACTTAAAACTACTCTTGAATGTTTAAGAAACCTAGAATTAACAATTAGCTGTTTTTGTTCCTCTTCATGCTGCATGTTATGATCAGCGCTTTGGGCCCACTGTAAGTCCAGTACATGTATAATAAGGACTCAGCTTTACAGAATCTTTGGTTAAAGTTTCATCATATTTCATAATTTGATGTTTTCCTTCAAGACTTCAATAGAATTTTTTTCATTGCTTGATACAGCTGGCAATTTCCATGTTTGCACTTATTTTCATTTTAACATTTTGCCTAGTAATTAAAACTGTTTGGGACAATTGTGTTGGTGTTGTTGCATGTTGTTTATCAAAATGAATCCAATATATATAAATGTAAAGTGTATAGCTTTTGGTATCTTTGCATTCTAATGTGTTATGTGTATAGAGTTGAGACTAGTTCTACTTCTAATTTCTAAGGTTTTTAGTGCCATAAATGCTATGTGTGTTTTAATGTGCCCATTTGAATTGTTGTACAGTAGCTTTATCATGTCCAAGACCTTCTACCTTTAACAGAAGATTTGCCTGCATGTGTTTGTTCCCTGTACAGCCCCCAACAGGAGACAGGTACCCTGCAATGTGCAGCCTGGGAGAGGTGGAGAGTACACTGTGGAGTACACACCTAATGAAACAGGTACGACTTTAAGTTTATGTGTCACACAAAATCTACCATTAGAAGTAAGTTGTTACACTGTGCACATCAACCAATTTGTTTGGCTCTTGAACTGACATATATTTTGTAATATTGGCCTTGAGAAGTTGAGATGTTCAACAGTTGGTTTTGAAATGTAGAATGATACATTAAATGTTATGGACCTTAAGCATTGTGGATGATCCAGTGTTTAGAAGTCCAGCCTTTGGACCTGAAGGAAGTGGTCGCCTGCCCAAGCTATGCACTTCTGTAACGTGAATTCAAAGGATTGCAACACTCACAAAATAATTTTTATTCTGAGCTGGGGAAATTTTCATATGGCGTTTGCAGTTAGGACCTGTCTTTCTTGACAGTAGAAAATAGCGTTTCAGTGCCCTAAAACTGTTCTTTTGGTTTTCCTTGTGTTTCTGACCATTTGTATGATACGTGTACTATGTACTTCCCCAGGTCCCCACCGTATCGAAGTTATGTACGCCAGCATGCCCATCAACGGCAGTCCCTTCACATCCCAGGTGTATGACAGCAGTAAGGTTCGTGTGGGAGACATCCCCAACGGGTTCATCGGCAAACCCAACTCATTCACTAGTAAGTACCGCATTCTAGATACTGTGAATCTTCTTATATTCCTTAAGTGCTTTTATGTTTGTTCATTGTTTTTGCGGTGTCCTCCTGTCTTCCACTCACTATTACTGTTTTACAGTATATTATCAACTGCAAAGTCAACAATACCATCATGATAATGATAATAATGCATGGCAATGACTATGCCTCATTCAATGATAAATTTTGGGGCAAAATTGATTAAATTTTTAAATTAAGATAATTAATAAATTAAGAGAATTCTGCCATCTGAATAAGTTGCAAGTTGGAATCTTGTGAAAGGGTATGTTGTCAGCATTCAAGTGAATCATGAAGATGTACTCATTTTACTTAAGTTAAAGCTTGTTTCTTTCCCCATAGTTGATGCGACCCAGGCCGGTATATATGTATCATGAAGATTGTGACATGCATGAATTGATACTAATTTTATGTTTCCATAGTTGATGCTACCCAGGCCGGTCCCGGTGAGGTGACAGTTGACGTGGGAAACCCCATGCACGTGCCTGAGCAGCTGCAGAACCTGGGCGGCGGCCGCTACAAGTGCGACTTCACCCCGACCAACACCAACCGACACGACATCACTGTCAAGTTCAATGGGGAACTGGTGCCAGGTAAGTACTTGTTCTTTTCTTAATTTTTATTTTTGTTTATTTGCACATAGTTTACACATAATAATTAAAGTACACATAATAATTAAAGTACACATAATAATTAAACAATAAAAGCTGTTCACTTTGTCAGCGTGTGTTGTTTCTATGTTAAAGGCATCCAATGCAATTTTACAATGGCAAAATTGGATTTTCAAAGTCAATTTTCAGGTCATTCTTTTAATGTAGTACGTTGAATCAACACTATTCCGTAGCATTATTATGATGTCTGTGAGGCAAAAATGCGATGTCACTGACTGAAAATGGTTGCTGGTTTTGACTAGTAGACTGGCTTAGCTTATTTATGGGTGGTGGCTAAAAAATAAAGAGATGCCTCACATATCTTGTTTCTTGGGTTATTTCAAATGCTTCAGGCATTTGCCATGAAATTGCTAACTTAATCTGTTTTTCTCTTGTTTTTTCCCAGGAAATGTGTTCCACTGTGATGTAGTGGATGCCGGCAATGTGACAGTTTCTGGCAGTGGACTGGACCTGATCCCAGTCAACCAACCTGCCCAGTTCATCGTGGACCCTCATGGAGGCCCTCCTTCTGAAGTCAGGGTCAACATCAACGGTGCGTGATCTGCAGATTTTGAAGATATTGTTGTCTCTCTTTTGATCTTTTTAATTGACAAATGTAGCATTAAACTTCTTCACTCATGTCCAAGCTTTTTGTTACTACTAAAGGTGGTTTCAGTTCTTTATTCTTCCCGTGTAGATGGCTTCAAATTTCTATACAATATTTTTGTATGTGTTATTGTTGAAGATGGATCATCATTAATTGATATCTGATGAACATGTATCATATACCACGACACAGTCCTCGTCATACTGACGGATGAACAACATCATGCACTACCACAGTTCAAGTGGTATACATTTTTTTACAATCCAATAAACCAGTAATCAATTACCCAGTCCTATTGAAATATACCTGGTATTACCCATAAAATGTTTAAAACAATTTCCTTTCTTCAATCAGAGCCGAACGGTCGCCCCCTGCCCAACCGTGTAACACACCAGTACGACGGCACCCACCTGGTGGAGTACACGCCCAAGTCAGTCGGCGCCCATCCCATCGACGTGCACTACGCAGGCCTGCTCGTGCCGGGCAGCCCGTTTGAGTGCATCGCGTACGACGCCAACAAAGTACGCATTTCAGACATCCGGGACGGATTTGTGGGCCAAGAGCTTGGATGCAAAAGTAAGCCGTTATTCTTATTCAGATGGTGTTGAACAAAATATGATATATATCAATAATGATTGAACTTTTTGTAACTACTTTCTATAAGTTGTATGGTTGGTTGCTTTCTTTTGAAACCAAACATTTGAAGCACTTTTATTAAAAATTCTAATAGTAGTACCGGTAGTAGTAGATTGAAGTAGTAGTACGTCATTGAAGGTTAGATATCCAGGTAATTAGATGCACAAGAAAAGTGTTTAAATCAATCAACTTCAAAATCTATCCAGTTGCTTGAGTAACACTTTGTAGAAGCAGTAGCAGTAACCAGTATTTGATTATACTACTGCAGTACCTGACACATGGATGGACAGCAGTCAGCATAGTTTACAGTGTATTTCCAGGCAGTCCATTCTGCTGAGGCTACCAAGACTGATCACGAATCTTACTATCCCTGTTACAGTCGACACCAGCCAAGCAGGTCCAGGCACCATCACTGCTGAGGTCCAGCAGGGTGGCCGACCTGTTAACCACTACCTTCGGGAGGACCCGCCCAGCAGTGGTCGCTACAGTCTGATGTATACTCCAGACGCAGCCAAGACTCATGAGATCAGGGTGCGCTTCAACGGACAGTCTGTGCAAGGTGGGGTCATGATACAAACGACATATTCTCTCAAGATCTACATGTATTTCAATGACAAATGTTAAGTTTCAACTTTTTGTTTTTTTTCATAGCCCCACCAATTGAGAAAGGCATTTATTCAAAAATGCATCATAGACATGACACAACTAGATAAACATCCAGATTTTCTATGTAAAAGAACATCATGCTCTCTGTTTTAAGGACAGATTTGAAGTGTGTTTTAGTGTATTATAACTTTCTTGCTACCTGTCCTTAGTGCTGAATGAGGAGGCCTTTAATGGCCTTCTCTGTATCTGTCCTTGGTGCTGAATTCTTAGTGCTGAATGGTCTTCTCTTTACCCGTCCTTGGTGCTGAATGGTCTTTTCTGTACCTGTCCTTTGTATTGAATGGCCTTCTCTGTGTTTGTCCTTGGTGCTGAATTCTTATTGCTGAATGACCTTATGGTGTACTACTACAGTACAGCTGTACAGTAACTGTTACAGTTAGTACTCTTTGTCTCAATGAATTGGGGGGACCCAGACTCTAAGAACATTCTTACGTTGACAGAAACACTCATTTAAGGTTTATGAAATTCAACATACTCAATGGAAACACAATATCTTCTTTTCCAGGCTCTCCCTTCAGAGAGGAAGTGTTTGACCCTCGCAATGCGGCAGCGTACGGGGAGGGTCTGGGAACCATTCCCGTGAAGAAGTCCACTTACTTCATCGTGGACCCACGTTCAGCCGGCAAGGCTGACATTTCTGCCAACATATCAGGTTGGGAAAAATGGCTGAGAACATGCAGCTCTTCAGTTTTATTGTTTTGCATGTGATGACAAACACATAAAGATTGATTTTAAAACACAAAAGTACAGTATTTTCTATTTATAATGCATGGTTTCTAATACCATAAGCATACAAAATGTGATTTGGATTTAGCTTCTGTTCTGTAAAATCAGCTGTTGGGGCTTTAAGCATATTGCTTAAAGTCAAGTCAAATTTTGTTCTTTCAGGTTCAGTACATTTTGGATTCAATCCATGACTAACTATTGTGATGCAAAACGTAATGCATGTATAACCTCCTTTTGTAAATATTTCCATTGAAAGTCCTTAAATTTATCAATAAATAGATTTCTGAAATATCCATTTTATTTGCATGGAATGTTAGAAATATTAACTACTAATGTCTTGTAATGGATTAACAATTTGTTGTTACAGTTCTAACAATTTTTACAGTTCAAACCATTTACCTTTTTACCCCAGGGCGCCCGCTAGTACAGATTGAAGTAAAAGCAGTTTCACAAACACTTTGGGTGTCTTGATGTATGAATGAGACAATGTGAGAAAGATAACAAACACACAAATGCATGAGTGTTTACTCCGCAATTAAACAGCCTCTTTCTAACCCTTGGTCTTGGTGGTGGTTTTCATTAACATCAACACAGCAGCACACAACACCACAATAACATAACTTACATACATTGACATTACCAATGGAGTTTTGTATCTGATGGTGAAAGACCGATTTACATGAAAAGTATGTTGTGTGATGACAATATAGGTAATAGTTGCTAGATAATTAAAGATATCATTGATCATTGTTAGTTACTTATTATTAGTACCTTGATATTTAGCTGTTATAGAAATCATTTCTTATGAAAGTAATGGCATCACCTTTTTCTTTTGTACTACATAGCCATAGTAGTTCTACAACTCTTTAGATGCTTTTATGATTTGCTTTCAGTTGTTTTGTCACCCAATCAGAGCATGTTTCCATGTTTTGCTAGTATAATTTTACACTGCAGCCACTCTTTTTGTTGATAGCATTTTCAAATATTACAGTTACAGTATTACTTCATAACTTACAAAGTGACCCTTAACTTACACATTAACATGTGAATGGTTTTACATTTTGCACCTACGGATCATAGTGCACATTACATGATTTACTTTTCAGTTGGTATTACTGTCATTTTTCAGTTTTACATGTTTTAATTCTTTTGTTTACATAATGGTAAAATCGGACATATTTTTACTACATGCACAGCCCAAGAGTGTTTTGACCATTTGTGACAAATGGTCACTGATATTTGTTTTGCAAAGCCTGGTGTCTAATTTTGTGTTCCTGTGACTTGTAATGGTTTCCGCAGCTCCCAGCGGTAACATGGTGCCCTGTAGGGTGACCCCAGGCCGTGACGGAACTCACAAAGTCGAGTACACTCCATACGAAGTCGGTAAGGGGACAAAATATTATAACAGATCTGAATACTCGTATATGATGAACTGAACTGGTAGAACAGTAAGACGAACAGTAAGACGAACTTTATGTCTTGATAATGGCGGAATGTTTTATAATGGCTGAATTACTGAATAATATTTCATTGACAATATTGATAATAGTCTCGTATGGGTAACGTGGTCGAAGGTTAGCATCTCATTAAAGTCACACTATAAAGAGAAAGTGTAGAATTTTTCTTCTATTGAAAGAAAAATAACCATCTAAAAAGTCCATGATCTAGCAAAGGCAATTAAAGTAACCACTTGCTTCGTTTAATAGTGTCTTTCGGCAATGTCTTTGTTGCAATAGAAATGTCATGTTGTTGATATATAAAAGAAGAATTGGACAACAATTGTACATACCGTTGGTAATTGAACATAGTACGGGTAAGAAATACAGATAGCAACTTAACATCCTAATTACTGAAACAAGGGCTAGCACAAGTCTTTGATACAGTGTTAAATGCACGTTATCTCCCGCAGGTCCCCACCAGGCTGACGTGTTCTACGCCGGCTATCCCATCAACGGCAGCCCGTTCCAGCCGGTCGCGTACGACGCCACCGCCGTCAGGGTGTCGGAAATTCCCGACGGACGCGTCGGACAGAAGATCGGCTTCAACAGTAAGGGCCTGGTGTTAGTGCATGGAAATCTCTTTTGATTATGAAATGTTACGTTAAGATAAAATTATAGGGAGAGGATAATAGTTTTTTAAGACATTTTTCAACACAGTGCACTTGATCCTGCGTCGATTTAGCTATGTGTCTCCCATGGGAAAGGGTCTTACAAAAGAAGCCAACAACCAAACTGGTTGTCTCGCATCGTTCCTACATACATTTTTGTTTGGCTTTTTGGGTTGTGAAATTTGGTTTAGACAATGCCACGAGACGTAAGAACAACTTAACTGTTTTTTTAATGTTCCAAACATGTAATCACAAGCTTAAGACGTGGTGAGGGCACACTCAAGGGACTCTGACCTGGGAGAGTCGGCGATCTGCCGGCAGAGGTCTAGATTGGAGGCTCTGCCAATATAGAAACTTTGATTTGTTCAACCCGCAGAGAACCCCATTGGTGTCTGTAATTCTAAGATATTCGGTTGCATTTCACGAATAGAAGTAAATCAGAGTCGCCAGTCCAGCATGTGATGTATCGAACCAGCATTTCTATTAAAAAAAAGGGAGAAACCCTCCCGATGCCAAGATGAGATCGTGGGAAACTCCAGGGAAATAAGTGGTAGAAGACGAATAGTTGTAGTGGATCACTTGGCAGACGCACATAATGGAGTGGTTGTACATCATGTGCGGACCTCTACTGTCATTGACATTTGCAGGGACTGCCTGGGGTCATCACAACTCCGGAGCAATTTCAAACTCTTTGTCTTACCTCGACTGTAAAGTGTAATCCGTCATACGGATGTCTATGTTTGGCAAAAGTCGAAAGTGTACTTTACAAAATCGTCTCGTAGTTCTCGCAATTACCACGCATCAGTGGAATTTGCTCTCCGTAGAACTCTTCAAGCAT